TCTGCCTTTGCCCTCACTCTGGGCTTATTCGCACTTTTTGCCCTGCTCTCTCCAGGCACAGGTTCATGCTTCAAAGCTTCGTGTCTATTTCTGCAGTAAAGGGAGGGTTTTCATGGGGCAAAGTGCAGGGCAAAAAAAGTGTGCTCAGACACGCAGCTTTAAAGCTCAGACCTGAGCCTGGAAAGAGGGGGGGAAATGGCTATGAGAGGAAAGTGCCTGGAAAGCGTGGAGGAAAAGTAGGTGTAGATAAGCCCTCTGACAGCCAAACTAGACATGAGGGAACCAATGGCTATGGCTGCCGCCACCAGCTTTTTCAAAACTTTAAATGCACACGCCTTTTGCCTAATCCCATTATTCCAAACTGCTACCATGAGCCGTTTTCTGCCCCTCCTTTCTCCAGCTTCTCCAATAGTTTCTGGGGAAACAGGATTTCCTCATAAAGACAAGACATACTGGAGTGACAACCCACTATTTTATTTCAATACATTTCTTCCATCATGGAACTCACAAGCGGCCTCCATGTGGTTCCCAGCCGGTCGCCCAATGCAGACACAGGCCAGGCCCAGGCCTGCTTAGAATCACATGCTGTCAAACCAGGCCCTGAGACTACCTTCCCGCCACCATCTCCTCTGTCTCCAAGGTATAAAACATAATAATAATAATAATAATAATAATAATAATAATAATAATAATAATAATAATATGATGATGATGATGATGAAATAAAAGAATCCAGGATTGTAGCACAGCTGTGATTAGGCAGCAGTGCAGCCGCTCATAAACAAGAGGTAGCAGCAAAGCGAGGAATTCACGCTCTGACTCAGGTTCTGTTTCACCTCAAGAATGCAGTTTGTTTTGTACCCATTTGAAAAACTGCCTTGCCTAAAACCGTCGTAATTTTCCCCACAGGCTGCTTCTGAAAGAACCTCACAACAGTCCTGCAATACAGTCCACTTGTAGTACTTCAGGCTAGAGCTGAGGCCAAGGTTGGTGGGATTTCCAGTCCAAAGCCCTCAGCTTGAAACAAAGGTCAGCTCTGCTTAAAATGCCCCCCTGAAATCTTAGTTGCAGTACTCAGTTGCATGCTGGCACATGTGGGCCACTGAATGACATGCAACTGCACTGTGCTTTTAAATGTTTAAATAAATATATAAAAAAAACATTTTCCCCTGCAGAAGAGGCCTACTGAAAAACTGTGAACTCCCATCTTTACTGTCCCATTGCTAAATTAAATAAAGCCCCAGATTTCCCCATTTTTTTCCCACAGAAGCCCATTTCTGCAGGGATAACCGGGGGGCGGGGGAAATGCCATTTGGCATTTAATATCAGCTCAGAAGCTGGACAGTGTTGAATTGCCACACCACTCCAAGTATGTCTTTCGTCCTTAAGGGAGTGCAGTGTACCAGTTAGACAGTCAGACAAAGACCTGAGAGAGAGATGTTTTAAATGTCCCCTCGGCCATGTAGCTCACTGTGAGGAGTCTCTCAGCCTGACTTGCTTCACAGGATTGCTGTGAGGATAAAACGAGGGAGGGAGAAACATGTATGTTCTTCCACTCCATCTCCTTTCAGCCCTAACCATTGTCCAGATATGACAGGAGTTGTAGTCCAACATCTAGAGGACACCTTTGTTGGCCACCCTTGGCGTAGAGAAGTGGGGAGGGGGCAAAGACGTTCAGGAAGCTGAATCTTGCATCTACTCTTATCGGCCTTCATTCCCAGTTCAGTCAGGAGTAGCAGGAGACACACAGACAACAGCTTGCAGGTAGAGCAGGCCTAACTGAGGTGGGCAGTAAGACCTAGGGCAAACATTTGTGCATCATGAGCAACACACCACACAAAATTGAGGTGGCGCACACATGCACATGTCAATAAGGGACCGCATGCCACCAGGCCTTGAGCCTGCTCAAACTGGGCAACTGAAGGCCAAGGGAGCTGCCAGCACCGAGAAGTGTGATGCAGTGAACATGAGATGGGGGAGAGACCTGTCCCCTTGGTGTGTTTCGGCTCCCTACACCCACCCACACCCCCCAGAACAAGCTGTTGCAAGAGGGCAAATGATCCTTCTCTCAACCAGCACAATGAGGCAAGATTCAAGTAGGGGAATTTAAAATGTAGCCTGGAGGTTCAGCTTCTGGGAGCTGTGTGTGTGTTGTCATTCAACTACACTCCCATTTCTAGGAAAAGGGATAGGGGAGGAGAAGGAACTGAGCCAGCTGGAAGAGAAGGGCTCAAGGCTCGCTTCCTCCCTGGGATTGTCATCATGTGCTGGGCAGCAAACCACATTGAGCCTCCTTGTCAGGGGCAGCCATCAAAGAATTTGGGGGAGCTGTTGAGGCAGCTCCAAAACAGAGGAGTTCAGGGTCTGAATGTGAGAAATGAACAGAGACAAGTTGGGTTTGGGGAGCTGGAAGCCAGTGCTCAACACCAACTTTTTTGGGCTGGGAGTGAAGGGGAGTGTTTAAAAAAAACCCACTCCCCACTGTCCTCAATAAATGTGTTATTTAAAAACACACATTTTGTCAGAGAGAGGGAGGAAAAACACATCCTGCCGTTAAAAAAAGCAGGGGGACCCCTCCCTCCTGCCAAGGCTCCTGGCCAGAATCGCCCTCAACAGGGAGAGAAAGAACAGGCCCTCGATTGAGAGCTCCTCTCGACTGCCCTGCCAGGAAGGCTGCCCAAGGAACGTTTTAAAGGTTACTCCTGGCTAGGATCCGGCTTTCGCCATGATAAATCACCTGGCAGGGCCTGGGAAAACAGATCCACCAGTGCACAAACACCAGTCCAAGACTAGGGGCAGGGAGGGGGAGGGAGAGAAAGAGAGCAAAAACTTTCCACTTTGGCTGTGCGCTTTGGAGACTGGGCAGCTACCTGTAGCGCCGTCCACATGGCCTTTGGGCTGCTTCCCTCCTGCAAAAATGAAGTTTAACATGGTGGCCACACTGGTTTTTCAGGAGGATGTGACAGGGCAGTTTTTTGGATGATAGTTATGAGAAAAACAGGGCAAGAACAGGAGCAATGAATACATCCAAGATGCCTGACAGAAGTGACCAAAGGGAGAGACACAGAAACTTTGTTCAGCACCAGCTTCATGAGACAAAGTGTGTGTGTGTGTGTGTGTGTGTGTGTGTGTGTGTGTGTGTTTTGAGGGGAAGCAGTGGCATGCAGTCAGTGGACTACAGAGACTAGGCTAGTCCCCTGAATGTTCCTGGTAAATTAGAGCATAGTACAGTCATACCTCATGTTACGTTTGCTTCATGTTACGTTCTTTCAGGTTATGTCCCGCAGTGACTGGGAAGTACCGGAAAGGGTTACTTCCAGGTTTTGCTGCTCTCACCTGCGCAGATGCGGCGCTTCAGGTTGCGCTCTTTTCATGTTGTGAACGGGCCTCCGTTCGCAACCAGAGTTACCACTGTATTAAAGTATTGAAAGTCTGACGCCTCCCTCCCAAAGCCTGGGAAACTTCTGCCCGGCTTAGAGAGGTGTGATGTTCATGCACGCGACATTCCCACCATCACCCTCACAAGCTGGAGCCTCTGGTCCCAACTGTTCCCCTACAAGAAATTTCACCACATGCCACCGGGGGGGGGGGGAGAGGTTCCCTTCATGCCCAGCTTCTGGTTTTCCAGGAGGACCTGGCCAGCCACAGGCTCTTGATCCAGCAGGGCTTTTTGTGTTCTCTCTACACACATCCCTTCTTCACTTGTCCTACAGCACTGAAGAGGGAAGCGTCAGTCTGCAAGCCACCAAGAAAACCAAGGAGGCACACACTCTCCCCTGCAAAAACACCTGGTGCTAGCGAGGGGGGAAGCAGGACCTCTCCTCTGACCCACTGGGGGTGGTGAGGAGGCCTTTAGCTTTATTGCTCCTGCCTCACACGGATGCCTGATGATCGTCTTCCAAAGCAACTACTCTATTCCGAACTTAAAAATGGAAAGTGTAATGCTGGTGGTCAACAAAAGAGGTTTAAACACTCCCTCAAGGCAAATCTTTAAAATGTAGTATAAACACCAACAATTGGGAAACACTGGCCTGTGAGCGCTCCAGTTGGAGAACAGCCTTTACCAAAGGTGTCATGGGCTTTGAAGACACTCAAACTCAGGATGCAAGGGAGAAACGTGCTAAGAGAAAGGCACACTTAGCAAACCCTCACCATGATCAGCTCCCACCCAGAAACCTATGTCCCCACTGTGGAAGGACGTGTGGATCCAGAATTGGCCTCCACAGTCACTTACGGACTCATTGTTAAAAGCGTGTTTATGGAAGACAATCTTACTCAGTTACGAGTGATCACCCAAGAAAGAAGATTGCTCCTGCCTCAAGGATGACTGAGCCATCCTGCTCCTTGCACAATGGAGGCACAAGTGCTCTGAGTCTCTTTCTGTCCCTCATCCTGAAGACCCTTGTCATCTCTCACACTCCTGACCATGCAGCTTTCTTCTCTTTCAGAACCCTTCTACTTCCTCAGCTTAATTCTTCAAACTATTCCTTTCTTCCGGGGGGGGGGGGGAGCTTTCCCTAGAACTCATTTATTCCATCTCCACTCGCTCCTCCCTCAAATCCTGGTACCTCTTCACTTTTTTCCTTTTTTGAAGTGCATTGTTCTCTTTGCCCAGGAAAACCACTTACAGACACAAGCTGCGTCCCTTCTGTGGCCATGGTTTTGGCACCAAGTGAGGCACTGAACACAGTAGCAACTTGTTGCTCAAGTCCTTGGCAGACCTTAGGAGGCGGAAGTTGAGTGCAAAAGGACAAAGACCAGAACCTTGACCGTAACCAGGGTGGGACTCAGGAGCCGGCAGACCAGAAGGCAGGCATTTTTTGGCCACAGAAACAAGTCAACAGGGGTGGGGCTTTCGGTTTAGCCCATCAGAAGAACCCAAACGCCCCCCACTCTTCATTAATCCAGAACACAGAATTCAGGGCTACAAGATCAATTTCCCCTTGCTCTGTTTTTTTTAATCCATTACCCCCATTTCACTCAGAGGCCACACTGAAAGCTTTGTTCTACCAGAGTTTTAATGAGAAGCTTTGTACAGACACCTTGTCCTTAATATATATTATAAAAAAAATACAGAGATTACGGACACGGGGGAGATCTTCCCCATCACAGCCAGATGGTATCAACAGGAGCACATAAGCACCACACATAATGCTCCACTCATGCTCCCTTCAGGCTTTGGATGGAGTAAGTGAAACTACCCAGAGTCTGGGGGAGCAAGTGCAGCTAAAAGACAGGAGGACAGCCTTAGAGCACATGCTGAAATAGACCCAGCCAACCCTCGCCACCATGAAATGCTTCTGGCCCTGGTAGCCCAGCCCCAATTGCCTCCCCAGAGAGAGACGACTTTGTCTTCGTCTTCCTCCTCGCCTCCACCTGTGAGTAACAGTCAAGCAGCAGTATTGTTCTGGTAAGTTCACATCCAGTCTGTTTATTGGGGGGGGGGCAGGGGCACAAGGATAAAGAGAGTTAGCAGTCCACTCAAAAGCTACATCACTGAAGGGGGGTGCAGGACGGGGAAGGAGCAAATAATGGTGGATGAGCAGATCACCCAAACCCATGCCCAGAAAGTGAGGGGAGGGGGCTCAGCTAGGCTGCCCCCAGCCCCATGAAACATGAGTGTACAGCAACCAGGTGGAGACTGGCCAGAACCACCAATATTCAGCAGGGGAATCATTCTTCTTTCTTGTCTCTTGGTCCATCGCAGGCCTCCTGGGAGAAACAAGGAGGGTGGGGGAACAACATGGCGTTACATAAGAGGAGAAGTATTTCATTCAACTGTATTTTTAAGCCACGTTTTGGACAAGCCAGTGCAAAGTGGCTTAACACAGTTAACTTCTCCATTTTACACGCTTTAGGGACAGAGTTGTCTTGTTTCCCCATGCTTTAACCCCCCCCCCCTTTTTCAAAAGCTGCAGCCGAGTAAATAACACTGAATTCTGCAAGTGGTTTATTTTTGTGCTGGTTATGGGGAGGAGCCAGAAGTTATGCAGTGCACTAAGGGCCCCACGGCTCAAGCCACAGAACTCTCATTCCGTCATCCCCTTTGGCTTCTGAGAGGACAGCAAACACACACTTCCAGGCATGTGTTGCTGCCATTATGGCCTGGAAATCAGCTTTAAGTGAAGATTCCCAGGAAACAAAATTCCTTATTGTCCTTTGCCACATGCTGCGCTTGTTACTTTTGCAGGATAAGGCAGACACATAGTTTTGGATTTGGAGTTTCACAGAACTCTGCAGACAGCAGAGCAAGGTAGCAAGTGGACACTTTGCAGCAGAAAGCGAACTACAAGTCCATTGTCATTTCAGGCAGATAATAAGCAAGTCACAAGGCCTTGCATGCCCAAATGTACACAACAGATTTGACTCCCTGCTGGCTGATGACGCAATATCTCCATTCAAGCCATTGTCCTTTGTATTCTGCAAGGTCATAAGCTGCTCATTCTTAGGCACATCATTCAAGGCTGCTGCATTTGTTTTGCTTCTGTGCTGTACATGCCTAATGCTGGTCAGTGTGTGCACCAGCCACATGAAAGGCAGGTTCTGTGAATGTATTTCCACAGCAGCCAGTGGCGATTCCCTACCCTGACCAGTTAGGGATGCTCAAAAATCAAGGCTGTTTGCATACTGAGAGAGAGGCCACCTTGTGAATTTATGGCTCAGGTGGCTTCCCCATTCATAGCTCAGTCTTAGCCCCAGGCATCTTGAGACACACACATCTCCACAAATTCCACCAGACTGAGCCACATGGCTGAAAGGATATCATCTTAGGTATAGCCCTGTTCTGCTACTCCACAAAGTAATGGCAACTTGAGGGGCAAACAGGCATTCTCAACAGTCCTTCTGAAAATACAGTTTTGCCTTAGCAGAAATGCTGCCTCCACAGATGGCCAGGGACTTCAATGCAATTCTATCCTGTGCCCAAGTGCAGAGCTCAATTGTCTAGGAGGGACAGCAGCTGCAGTAGCAACATTCTGCCTCTCTGCCAACTACAGTAGTCAGCCCTTAGCGCTGCAATCCTACCCAAAGGGGAGGGATCTGCTTACACAGCCCAAGGAGGGGGAAGACCACCCAGCTCCCTACAGGAATGCAACCTGGAGGAAGCTGGAGGAAGCTGCCCAGAATGGCCACGAAGGCAAATAGCTGCATGAGCAAATCAAACTAACAGCAGCTACGGCCCACAACACTCCTACCAAGCTAAGCAGATGCCAGAAATCGCCAGCTAACACAGGTTCAGATACCGTCCTGAATTCTGCTGCCCATTCAGAATCCAGTCTTCCTCCTCCTCACCCTCCACCCTGCAAATTCTCCCTTTGAAGGGCTGCAGTAGTGCTCAACTTAAGTAGAGCAGAAAGGCCAATGCACCCCTAATTTTGATGTCTGGGCAAGATGCAGAGCAGTCTATCAGCACCCTGTACAGGAGACCATCATCCCTGACCTTTGGCGATGCTGGCTGGGGCTGAAGCTCAACAGTATTTAGAGCGAACCATGCCATGTACAGGGTGCTTTGGAGTATGATGGCAGCAAAGACGAAGAGCTGCGCGTGAAATATTAGCTCAGCAGGATATCTCACTGCAGAGAGGAGTTCCCACGCACTGCTTAGCATTTGCCATCACTTAGTTCTCCCCTCCCTTTGAAAACATGCTTCGAACAGAGTTCCCAAGACACCAGCCGAGAATGCTGCTGTTTGCACCCACATCTCCTCAACATGGCCTTCCCCATCCTGGTGCCTTCTAGAAGGCTGTGCTGAGGCTCATGGGAGGGCACCAGGTTGGGGAAGGCAGCCTTAAGGAAAGGCCAACATGAGAGCCTCCAATCACTACCCAGGAACAATGCTCAAGGGCATTTAAGTAGCTGGAAAGGTCCCTATCCTCCTCCTCCTCCTCGCAGGGCAAGGACATCTCTGCTTCCCTAGGTACCCAAAGGCACACTGGCCCTTCAGAAGCAGGAGGGTGCCATTCCTCAGCAGTGCCAGCCTGCAGAGCCATCAGAATAGCAACAACACTGAGATCCTATTTTTAAGCAGCTGGCAAGGCACACTGTTACTGAGTCTTGGCAGCCGGATCACACCAGCTCTGGGGAGGGGAGGGGGAAAGCAGGTGGTTGCAGCAGCACACAGGCGAAGCCAAGACAGAGCTCAGTAAGGACTTGTGGGCTGAAGGGAGCATGGGGATGAGAAGGGATTGGAATGAGGATATTCAGAGCAACGCCCATTGCAATCCAGAAAGATGCTGCGTGGGGGGTAATTAAGCCCCGAAGGCAGGAGGCTTACTCAGCATGGGTTACAACAGAACCTTGAAACTTTTTTTTTATCATCCTAAGACTAAGAAGGAAGAGGCGGTTGCTGTCCCTGTCCAACCCACCCAAGCTCCACAATGGAGCAGAGAGCAAGCAAAACGCAGAAGACTCAGCTCATGTGAACTGTCTGGAGCCCAGTCAAGCCTTCCAGAACCACCCTCCCCAACTGCAAACTTCTAGAGCGAAAGGGGCAAGCCCTCAGTCACTAGCTATGGGAGAACTGTGCAAGCAATAAGGTACATTCCCCAAGGGAGGCTTCCTGGAATGCCCAATGGAGACTAAGGCTGTGGACACACCATACAAATAAAGCACAGAGATCCCCTCAAAGAATCCTGGGAGCTGTAGTTTGTTCCTCACAGAATTACGATTCCCAGTGCCGATGACAACCCACAGTCCCCAGTGCTGCCTCAAGTCTTGTTTTAAAACCCGAGCAGTGAGGGGCCCAGCCCCTTCCGCACTTCCTTGAGGTGGTGCCAGGCCCAGCATTGTTCCTCCCTGCCCACCTGTTATCAGCTCCCAGGTGAGGCAGCGTCTTGTGACCTGCTGCTTACGTGCAGAGAGAAACGTGGAGGGTTGTTTACCGGGCAGGATTCCCAGGCGCTGCCAAGATCCTCCCCCTGGCTGGTACTCCGCGAATGGGAGAGGCTGGAGTAAAAAACCCGCAACCAAGGCTGGGCAGCTTCTCTCAGCCACTGTGTGCAGATTAGGTTACCCTGGCAACGAAAGCTGGATTATTTTTATACGTGTGTGTGTGTGTGTGTGCTGTGTTTGTTGTGGGCTGGCCATTTAAACCTAGCCAACCAGTGACACAGGGTAGGAGAGAAGGCGGGTCTGCGGCAGAAGACAGCTGTAATCCAACAGATTCAAAGCCCTCCCTTAAGAGTGCAGAAAGAACCTTCATTAATGTACCAAAGCAACTCATCAACATAATCACACACACCCACACCCAAAAAACAAAAGACTGACTACTCCTTTCTTCCTGCTACAGGGGTGGCGACTTTCAGGGGACCCTGAGAAGGGGGAGGTTCAGAAGCACCCACTGCATGCACAAATGTGAAACCTCCCGCAACACATTCAAGGACTGGACGGTAGAGACTGTCAGCAACAAGATTCCAGAACTTGTGGGAGGCTCTTGCTAACTTTTAAGGATATCTGATGCACAGTCAAAAGGTTTGGGGTGCGAGGGGTGGGGGAAGAGAGCACACCCCTGAGGAGGTAATCATGGGTTGTAGGACTATAAGCAGCAGGGACACAGCTCCTGATTTCCCTGAAAGCTTAAACAACGGCAAGACACACATTTATTTTCAGTTACAGCTGAAACTTCAGAAGACTCCATAGCTGCCCTCATCTGGAGGAAGATTTGTTCACAAAACTGGCTTTGCCCAGCGGGAGTGACCATGCTGGAATCACTGCCTCACACACAGCTGAAATCCAACAAGGAACAAAGCACAGGGCAAGAAAAAAGGAGGTTCTACTTGGGATGCCTCCCTCTCAACCATTGTAAGGGCCAATCGCATCAAACTTTACTGCTCTAGAGTCACCCCATTCTTCCCTATTTATGCATTCTGGTAACCAGGAAGCCACCTCTCTTTCAAGGAAGAATGTCCACAGGACACTCAAGTGAAGGCTGGAATGAGGAGCTCCCCCCTTGAAGCTGGGGAAAAGAGGAAGACCAAGAAGCTTCCTTCTCTTAAAACCAAGCAGATGGGCCTTCTGCAACCAGGTGTCCTCCAGATCTTGTTGGGGTCCCACCAGCCCCAACCAGCATGGCCAATGGTTAGGGATGATGGGGACTGTAGACCGACAATATCTGAAGGACACCAGACTGGGGAAGGCTGGCATCGACAACCCTCACATTCCCAGAGCAGCCACAGTACTCATGGGACAAACACTCTCTCTTTTTTCTTTTTTTAAAGGATTTTTGAGCCCCAAACCCCTCATCACACCACCACCACTGCCTTCTTCTGGCCCTGCCCTAGAACACAAACACCACTGCTCTTCCTGGAGCAAGACACCAACTCAAGCTGGAACCCGTAGAAGCCAGGGAGAGGACCGGTTTTTGGAGTTTTGGAATAGTCCAGCCAGACACGACAGTTGCCTCATGCAGATGCCAGCCAGGCCCCTCTTGACTCCCTCCCACCTCAGAACAGATATTTGCAACCCCACTTCCCTCCCCTCGCACCTGGAGCTTGGTGTGTTCATGCATCAGTCTGTCATACTCCTTGGTCAGTCCTTCGGCCTGTTTGCGCATAGCCAGGGCCTCGTTCTCTGCCTTTTCCAGGGCTGGGGGTTAAAGGGGGAAGAAAAGCACAGGTTAGAGTAATCTCTACACATCCCAACTGACCCAGATAATCAGGCAACAGCAAGCCAAGTCACATGCATGTGTCTGTGTGTAAAAAATGGATCACTGCAGATCCTGGTTTTCCAGGAATAGAAAACCACAGACTTTTGGATCAGAGGAGGAGCTGTGATCTTCCACCAAGTTCATTCCTCTGACTTCCAACTCCATGAAAGGACTGAGGTGAGTAGTTTGATTTCTAGCACTTACTTAATAAAATTTGTATGCCTGCCTTGATCCAAAAGTCATAGGACAGTTTACAAAGTAACTTAAGGCTGCAGCCATGTTCCCATCAGCTGTGGCTATCAAATGAGGATGCTATAAAGCTTAGCCACTTATTTCCCTCTTGGTCTTCACAGTTGAGATCACTGGACAGTAAGCTAGGCTGCTTCTCAATTGCCACTTTGCCCACTGCAGGGTTTGTGCTTGACCACCAGCATAGACAGAATTTTAAAAAGTAACGCTCAAAGACATGGATGGTGGTTCTAGAGTGTAATTAGTACTAGGCAAGCCTGAAATAACCGATTGGATCATGTCACCACAAGCACATTTCAACTATTCTCAATAAGCTCTCATCCAAATTTTTGTTCTGAATTAGGACTGTGCTCCCTGGTCCAAATCACCTCTAACTTTCACCAGTGTTTTATTGCGGGAGCGGAGAACCAGAACCCTAACCCAAACAATTCCCTGAGTCACTTCCAGTTCTGCTTCTTAAGATTCCTACAACCTATCATGGGAGGGGAACCTCCAGCCCACACAACAAATCAGAGCCACCAGAGGCCCTAATTGGGCCCACAGGGTAGTTTCTGCCACACCTGGAGTCACCTATGACTTCAGGTGTGGTGCAGGTAAAGCCATATTTGCAAAGGAACAATTGGGATCCTAAAGGTGCACTCTCAGTTGCTCCTTGGCAAGAGGAGCTTGCATTCAGGGCCTTTTGCATGTTGGCCATCAACGGCACAGCAGAGTTTTCCAAGCAGAGCCAATCTGTGCCGAAAGTCGAGCTCGTGGTCAGCACTGAATTTAAATTTAGTGTGCCAAGTGCAAGCCCCTCTGGGACCAGATCCATTCTGAAGCTTGCATTTGGCGCCAAATGCAAGCTGCACTTCCTGCGCTTCAAGGCTCCGGATGCAGACAGTCAGAGAGCAACTGGCGCACATCCCATGATAGCATTAGCATCACTGGAAGAGAGGGACACCCAAGGCTGGTTTCTATCAGATGCAGACCTAAAAGGCTTTGAGGCTCCTTAAGGAAGACTCAGAGAATATTGGGAAGATGCTCCTTCCTTCACTTTCCTCACTGGCTTCAAATAGCACATGGTTAAGCTATTGAATTATTTCCCCTGAGAAGTAGTGATGGCTACAATCTTGGACAGCTTTAAAAGAGGATCAGACAAGTTTGTGGAGGATCAGGCTATTCATGACTGCTAGCCATCCTGGCCATTTCACTTCCATTGCCAGTTGCTGGAAATCACAATAGGGGAGAGGGCTGCTGTTGCACCCAGGTCCCGCTTGCAGGCTTTCCACAGGCATCTGGTTGGCCACTGAGAGAACAGGATGCTGGAATAAATGGGCCATTGGCCTGATCCAGCACATGGGACACTTCCCTTGTGGAGGACCACCGTGCTAAAGAAACAGAGAGCTTCTGGGCCAGAAGAACAAGTTGTGCCAAATTTGGCAGCTTTTCTGTGGCTTAACAATGAGCACCACTTGGGTGTTAGACTGGAGAGAAGTAACAAAACGCAGGACCCCTTACAACAGCTATAAAAAAAGAGGGCACACTGGAAGAAGAGACAAGAGATCAGTTCAACCCAGGCATGCACAGCCAAACACTCCCTGCACCCCTCAAAGAAAGAAATCTGAGCCACAAAATAATAATTCAAGAACCTTAAATAATTCAACCAACTTAAAAGGTATATTGAGCACTTCTTGTGTGCCTGGTGTTGCACACTACACAACCAGTTACAGTCCTGCCTGGCCACTGTGCCATTCACATGGGAAGGGGGAGTCAAAGAGAAGCTGGGAATGTTACACAAGCCCACCAAGAACTGAGAAGGTCGGAAGGGCAATTGACACCCAAAACTTCCCAGCTCCAGGATTCCTCCGGCACTGATGTCAACCCTTCTAGTTTGCCAGCTCTGGAAATGAGCCCTGGAGAAGCTGCTCAGACTGGCTGATACTGCAACTGAGAACTGGAGCCCCCCCCCCCACCCAGTGTGTGTGTGTGTGTTTTCAAACACATGCGGCATGAGAGGAGAGAGTATCCCATTATGTCATTGCTAGGTTTTAGAGTAATGTGCAAAGACCCTGCCCTGCTACCCTAAAAAAGCTTGCAACGTTTATTTGGAGTTGGAGTTGTATTGGAGTTGGAGTTCTTTTCACACACAGAACTGGTTTTAAATTGTTTGCGTATCTACTATACAAACTATTATAGTAGACATACAAACAATTTTCTTGGAGGACACCTGGAAAATCGTTTGTCTGCTTCCTATGCATCTGGACACTGTGAAGATACCATAATCCAATTTTGTATTATGGTTCTTGAGGTCAAGTAACAGGTTTTTCATCTGTCGGATGCCAATCTGAATCAAGATGGCAGGCTGAATCTTACAAAACAGTGTGGATTTTAACCACTGATTTCAAAATTGCACTCAATTTGATGACGTTTCTTAGCATTCCCAATCATTGTTGGGTATGAGCTTGCCAGTATAAAATAGTTTACATACAGAATTGTTTGATTGTCTTTACTGCGAAATCAGATCAAGATATTTTATGGGAAGCAATTCATCAACTGAATCAAAGAAATAAATAAATACATTTGACTGTGGAGGAGACACAGGGAGAGGAGGGAAGGGTTTAGCAGTGGTGAAGTATGATGCCAACAGCACCAAACAGCAGCATTCCCTTCCCACTAAGTGACTGTGCTCTCTCACACATCTTCCACCCATTCCAGTGGGGCTTATGCAGGAGAACTTTCCACTTGACTGTGCGCCACAGCTCAGAGCAGCATCACCTACACTGCTGCCAGAATCAACCACTTCGCAGGAGGCAACCTGGGACCAATGTGAGCAAGTGCCACTACAGCAGCCTATGCTGCACGTCAACTGGGAAAGGAGAGAGAGGAATGGAGAATTTGTGGTTCTGCTGGACTCCCACCATGCCTGGGCATTGGTCATCAGGCTGGGACTGATGGGAGTTGTGACAAAGAAGGTGTAAAGAAGTCCCAAACCTGCCAGTGTGTGCAGTGCCCAAACATTCAGATTTGAAGACCTGAGTGCACCAATTAGTTGTCCCCATCATCATTTCCCTTTTCAATAACTAGAGAGACCAATTCCAAAGTTGGACATTGCTTTGTAGGGCAAGGAAAACAGCATCCTCACAACTATAGAGAACCAAAGTGTTTACAAACAAACTCTTCAGGGCTCGGTCCATCTATTCCCAAAGTCTGATGCCAAGTGAAGTATTTTTAAGCAGGAGAGGGGGGGGACAGAATTCTGAGATTGTACATGAGGAAGGCGCATGGCTGTACAGTTCTAGAAGTATAAATAGATGGTGTATCACCCTTTCGTCGGCATCTAGCCCGGATGATCCAGCTGTACACAACTGGGATGTGGGGGGAGAGGGATAGTCCAGGGTCTCTAATAGGTCATGCCCTTTCCCTATAAGTTACTGGGCAGTGGCATCTACCACACAGGGTCATTTTACAGCCAGGACTGGAGGGGGCATGTGCTAAACATACTCCACCAAGTCTCTCACCTTTCTTTGTGGAGGCCAGCTCATCCTTCAGTTTTTTCACTTCACCCTGCAGTGCTTTACTCTCTTCTTCACCTCCAGCGCCTTTGGTGTCCAGATCTGTTATTTTCACCCCTGCTTGCTGCAGTTGCTGAATGAGAAGGAGAGAAGGTTAGAGGACACAGGAGAAATCAATCCATCAATGAGAAATAGCTTGACACAAGACTTAATGTGTGTGTACAGACAAACCCCTGTCCTGTACATGGTCAGCTGGCTTTTCTCCTGACCCTTTCCCCTAACCTACCTTGCAAAACTTCAGTGTCAACCCATTTCTAGGACAATTGACACAGCCAAAAATACTAAATAGGCAAACCACTATTGCAAAATCCGAAGAAGCAATTTTGGGATTCCTCTTTAGCTCAGAGACCAGGGGCGGCAGCAGCGGCTGCCTGGAGGACTCCCAAGGAGAGGGAGAGGAGAGGAGGCTGAGGGAACGCTCCACAAGGGAGGGTGTTTGAAAAAGGGTGAGAGGCTGCCAGCACTGCAGACAAGGAGTGACATAAATGGGCTCCTGAGCCCCACAGGTGTGCCACAGAAAGAATGCAGTTGTTTAAGGGAGCCATAGACTCAGAAAGGTTGAAAACTTCTGCTCTAAAGGGATGGTCAGCATGACATTCAGAGGTCTACAATTTCCCTTGGCATGGCAAACACACATCTGCTGAGCATGACAAGTCTCCATGTTTCCTTCCAACCTGAGAGCTAGAAACCTCGCAGAAACTGGTACCCATTTGATGCTGGGCTTCCCAAGAGGAGAAGAACTATAGTGACGATGCCCCTACCCCTCTCCTACTCTGAGGCTGAACCTTGGGCAAGGGGCAAAATCCCTGTCCTCATGCTTTGAAGGTCAAGGATTGGACCCTTCCTGCTGCAGTAATGCATGGCTTAGCAACCAAGTCATCAAGTATGCAGAGCCATCAAGTTTGCAAACACAGATGCAGTGGTTTAGCATTGGGGGGGGGGGGGGCGGTCCACAGGGGCAGATGTCCTGGGCACAAAATTTCAACACCAGATGCTGCCTCATTACAGCTGCATGCTTCCATCACTGGGCTCCACTGAAAATGGCTTTTCCATGCGATTCAGGAAGTGACCTCTCCAGATAATGGAATGACTCTACATCTCTCTGTGATCCCCTGGGTAACACGGATGCCGTTAGGCAGTTGAATGCACATGCATCCATTTCCCTCCTTCCCACCCACCCCTGTGTGTGGCCCCAGGCACTGGCAACCCATGCTACACCACTGCACAAACAATCCTCATACGAGAATAGGGAAGCTTAGAGTGAGGCCTGCCCAAGACCAACCAAGAAGCTCATGGATGAAGCAAGATCTGACCTGGGGTCTACCTATTGGAGGACCCTGGGCAATTTCATTTTTACACAACAAAATGCCCCATTTGAAATACCTATATCTTGCTTTATAGCCCAGAGATGCTCTCAAGAAGTGGCTTCTCAAGAAGTTTTTCAACTAGGATGATTTAGGCTCTCGCCCTTTTCTATTGCCAGGCAGCAGCTCCCACCAAAATCCTTTTGCCTCCAAGGAGCAGGGAGACAGCTGCCTCTCGCGCACTACCTGTGGCTGGATTAGCTGAGACTCGCCTGCCATGTTCCACAAACTTCCCAGCCACCTCATTTCCATCCTATCACTTTCTCCCTTTTTTGATGCATATGAAATGCCACCCTGAATCCTGTCGTTCTCCTAACATTTCTTACTTTGGAAAAATCCCTGAAGGAAAGTATCCCATAATAACCAGTCGAACAATAGGCATACTGCCTACACACCCCTGGAAATGCCAACCGCGAGTGTATAAAACAACGGATGTTGCTTCTGGGCAGTGCAAAGGGAGCTGGATAAGCCCAGAAACCTGAGATTTTGGAAGAGAGAAATGGCTGCTGAAAAGACAAGGCATGGGGGTGTGAGGAGGAGAATCTTTCATCCTCAAACTGAGCCTCCGTGGGGGGGGGGGGCGGTTTGCATAAGCTTTCTCCAATCATGGTTCGTCTTCTATGAGAAGAAGCAGTTGTGATTGCAAGCACTGGCATGACAGGCACAAAAGCGACAGCCTGACATTAGCAATGCTATGTATAGAAAAAATGTTATACAAGACCTTCAGAGCAGCCTGTGGCGCACGACACGACAGCAAGTGAAGCTGGGTGGAAAATCAGCACAGACCAGAATGAAGCGCTTCTTCACACAGAACAGTTAAAACTGTGGAATCCGCTACCGCAAGGTGTAGTGACAGCCACCAACCTGGGTGGTTTTATGGAGAATGGAGCCTATCAAAGCCACAATGTCTACGTTCTGCCTCCACCGACACAGGCAGTGAGCCAGGCGTCCAGAGAGGCTTCTGCTGTGCCCAGGACCTCCTTTTGGACTTCCAAAAAGCATCTGGTTGTGAGATCATCATCATTTTATTTGTATGCCGCCTTTCCACAGTTAAAAACAATGCTCAAGGCGGCTTACAACAGGACAAGATTTATATAATTACAAAAGTCATAAACAATAAATACAGTGGTACCTCGGGTTAAGTACTTAATTCGTTCTGGAGGTCTGTTCTTAACCTGAAACTGTTCTTAACCTGAAGCACCACTTTAGCTAATGGGGCCTCCCGCTGCTGCCACGCTGTCGGAGCACAATATCTGTTCTCATCCTGAAGCAAAGTTCTTAACCTGAAGCACTATTTCTGGGTTAGCAGAGTCTGTAACCTGAAGCGTATGTAACCTGAAGCATCTCTCTCTCTCTCTCTCTCTATATATATATATATATACGCACACACAGAGAGAGAAAGAGATTCAAAATACACAAATATTCAACTGTGTCGCACATACAACTGCTCCATTGCCACTTCAAGGGCCACTGAATCTCCTTTCACATGCATGGATTCTTAAATTCAAACTGCTTTCAAAATGGCAACCTAAAAATATCCTCCCTCGTGTTCTGCAGCCGTTATATGGAGATGTAGAAAGTGTGCATCTGCTCACGCCTATGTTTTGCAGGATGACACTATTCCGTCAAGCAACTTCAAAGGCTGTGTATTTGCTTCCCACCAGCTACAACACATTATTCCAGCTCTCCTGTGACAATCTGAAAAAGTAAAAATACTTCAATGGTATATAACTGCACGTCTGCGGTAGATCACTGCCCCCCCCCCCCCGCCCAAAGAAGTTCAACTACTTTTGCTCCTCTAAAAAATAGCTCAACATTTATTTTTGCCCTGTACCCCCCCCAAAACAGGGCCCCCCTCTTCCCTTCCTAAAAAAGGGCCTTCCTTCCTATAAAAAAAAAGTCAACAACTTTGACCTGCACCACCTCAAAAATGGGGGTAGTCTTTGTGAGTAGATCACAGTCTCTTGGGAGTTGGCCACCCCTGCTATAGGCGATGTCCAACCTCAATCATGCTCAGAGTAACCCACTGAAATCAATGGAAGCTTATGTCATTGAATTTGTTGTTATTAAGCTTTGAGTTCACACATCAATGTGAGAGCCAGTGTGGTGTAGTGGTTAAGAGCGGTGGACTCGTAATCTGGTGAACCGGGTTTGATTCCCTGCTCCTCCACCTGCAGCTGCTGGGTGACCTTGGGCTAGTCACACTTCTTTGAAGTCTCTCAGCCCCACTCACCTCACAGAGTGTTTGTTGTGGGGCAGGAAGGGAAAGAAGAATGTTAGCCGCTTTGAGACTCCTTAGGGTAGTGATAAGGTAAAGGTAAAGGTACCCCTGCCCGTACGGGCCAGTCTTGACAGACTCTAGGGTTGTGCGCCCATCTCACTCAAGAGGCCGGGGGCCAGCGCTGTCCGGAGACACTTCCGGGTCACGTGGCCAGCGTGACATCGCTGCTCTGGCGAGCCAGAGCTGCACACGGAAACGCCGTTTACCTTCCCACTAGTAAGCGGTCCCTATTTATCTACTTGCACCCGGGAGTGCTTTCGAACTGCTAGGTTGGCAGGCGCTGGGACCGAGCAACGGGAGCGCACCCCGCCGCGGGGATTTGAACCGCCGACCTTTCGATCGGCAAGCCCTAGGCGCTGAGGCTTTTACCCACAGCGCCACCCGCGTCCCCATAGGGTGATAAAGGGTAGTGATAAAGCGGGATATAAAATCCAAACTCTTCTTCTTCTACCAAGTAATTGGGGGCCAAAATGAAGGACACAGAATCTTTTGTTAAAACTTCCCTGCCTGGTTACCTTGAAGAGACTGACCTGCCACACCCAAGAAGGGGCTATTTATAAAACTGCCTTAATCAAACAAGAATAGAAGTTCGACCAGTTCCCGTTGTCTTTAGAATACACAGTTCCCTCCAACTTGGCTGGCCTTAAGCAGCCAGGAATATGGGCTGAGTACACACTACACATTGAAAGTACATGACGTCCCCCAGAGTCCTGGGAACTGTAGCATATCCCCTCACAGAGCTACAATTCCCAACACCCAGCACCTACAATTCCCAGTATTCTTTTTTGGGGGGTGGGGAGGAATCATGTGTGCACAGCCAGTTTTTAGAGAAGCTTCTGCGTTCACTTGATCCTCTTTGCACACCCCTCCCAAGACATACTGCAACAGGGCCAGCATTCAAGAAAGTGATCTGCCCACCTCCCTCTAGGTTAGGGTGGGTTCCCTGTGGCCCCTTCACATGCTGTTAAGCTAGTCCAAAGGAAGCCTGTAAGGGGTTCCCAACAGCCCCAGTCAGCAGATCTAATGGTCGGGGGGTGAAAGGAAAGCAAAACAAAAAGCAAAGATTAAAAAAAAAAATCACGCCTACAAAGAAAACCATATCGTCATACTAATCGTTAACATTGACTTCCTTCCTTTGTTCTGAGACCTCATAGTTTTTAATCGTTCTGTATTGTTGTGTCTAGTGTAGATTACCTCTATCTTGCACCATTTTTCAATTTCTTTAACCCTGCAAAGCTTCATTCATTACATCCCAATATACTTACTCCAGAACAATGTTTTTTTATATATTCTTTAACACAATCCCATTCTTTTACTAATTTTTGGTCCGATTGTCCCCTTAAGAATGCTGCGAATCTTGCCAAATATATATATTCACAAAATTTGATTTGCCATTCTTTTATTGGTAGGATTCCCCCCCCCTTTCCATTTTTTGCAATGAGCATCCTGGCTCATTGCAGGATGCTCCAACTCTCCAATTCTAAGGTTCTATGAAAATGAGTGAGAAAAGGGGGGGATTTCCTCCCAAACCGGGGTGCTACATCCCCATGCTGTGATGCAGAACCTCCCCAAGCAAAATTCACAAGAGATGACTTTTAACTGGAATAGAAAAGTCCATTCCATTCCAGTCTGTAGTGCCAGAGAACGGGGGAGAGAGGAGCTCTCCAAAAGCAGCTGCAAGGGGCTGGGGCGCTATCAAAAGCCCAAGTCATAATCACCGCCCTTGAGCAAGCTTTGCATTTTTATCTTTGCAATCCTGTTTATGGCTACAGATTGAAGACACACCAAAGCAGATACATTCAACCACCACCCTACTATCCAGAGGGTCAAGGCTGTCTTGCTAATGCACAGTCCTTATTTATTTGACTCATAAAAATTATTGCCATATTTAAGGCAGTGCCCTCATGTCAACCCAGCGTGATGGGGCTTGCCTGCCCCATATGGCGGGTGGTGGTTTAAAACACACAAGGTTTAAAGGCTCTTTGGTGCACAGGCAAATGTGAGGCCTCTCGCCCCGCTGCAAATGGAAATTCCATGAATTTCCATGCTTATTTTTATTGGTTAGGGAGGAGAGAAAGTAGGGCTGGGCCTCAGAGGAGAAAAGCTGGCAAGGAAAGAAATTGCATGAAAGGGAGCTGCCCCCAGGTTGGAGCCCCACCCCCCAAAGCTGAAACCTGAGAATGCAGGGGCACTTTCACCTGTTTTGTCCATCATGCGGTGGAAGAAAGCATGCTCTTCTTTTTATTTTCTAAGGAAATCTGGATTCTGCATTAGAAGCTGCAGCTGCCGTGAATTCCCAGAAACTCCAACACACTTGCCATGCGACAGAGCTTGCCTTTCACAGCCGCACTCTCCACGTGAGGAGGGGGTGGGGAAGACCTGGGATCTAGTTCAGGATTCTTACGAAGCAAAGCCGAGGTTCTCAGAAGTTTAAAGGCCTTGTAGCTGTAAAGACTGTGGGACTATTTAGCAAGCCTATGTTTAGCGAACTTAAAAGCTCCCAGGTACCTTTTCCTTTTGCAAGGGAGAGGGGGAAGCAGATGGAAACAAAATATTTCAGATGTCAGGGTTTTACAGACTTTTCAGACATTACAGTGGTACCTCTGGTTGTGAACGGGATCCGTTCCAGAGCCACGTTCACAACCTGAAAGGAACGCAACCCGCACCTGCGCACGTGCGGGTCGCGATTCACCACTTCTGTGCATTACGTCATTTTGCACATCTGCGCATGCGCGAGCGGCGAAACCCGGAAGTAACCCTTTCTGGTATTTCCGGACTGCCGCGGGACTCAACCTGAAAAGACGTAACACGCAGCGTTCGCAACCCAAGGTATGACTGTATTTGTTCCCTCAGGGCAAGATGGGTGTGAACAGGCCTCGGGCACCCGTGCTCAAGTAGAAGGGTGAAAAATCACTAGTGCAGACTGGTTATTACCGCTTTCATCATTTAAGTGCAGGACTACGCAGCGCCCTGCTTCATCGGGGTGCCTTTCCGTTGCTGCCAGCTTACACACGGTGTTTTGTTTTTCAAAAAATAAATGCACAGTGAACTCTACAATTCAAAAGCTTGCAGAAACACATCCTGCCACCCTAGAGCAACGGTTTCTGCTCTCAATGAAAGTTGAAGACTACCCTGATCTCATAAAAACTGACCACAGGAAAAATGCATCCTGGTTGCTGCAGAAAAGGAATTCCAAGGACCTGAAAATAAGTGTGAAGCAGAAAAAGAACACGGAAGAGGAGGGGAAAACTCTTTAGGACCACAGGAATAACTATAACCTGGTGTCCAAACAACTCATTGGCTAAAATGGTTGGAGCAGTCAGTCCAGCTTGTTTCACAGACATTTCTTAGAAGGGGTACCTGCATATTTTGCTTCCCATTTCTCTGTCTAGAAGGGCAAGAGACTTGCTTCTTTAGAAAAAGGAAAGCTCCGAGTCCGGAGCCCCTGCCCAAAGGCACCAATGAAAACTTCTCCAGGTGCCGCCTTGCTTGTGGATGCCGAGTTGGTGACCTCCACCATGTAATACTTCTCCTGGCAGAGCACAATGTCCTATACCAGGGATGGAGAACCTGGCACCCTCCAGATATTTCTGGGGGGAAACTCCCATCAGCCTCAGCTAGCATGGCCTACAGTCAAGCATGATGGGGGCTGCAGTCCAACACCAGTTCCGAGGGCCGCAGTTATAGTTTCCATTTGCAAGATTGTCACAAGCACCATGTATGACGCTGAAAGGTTTGGGAGTTTGTTTTTAAAAGAACCAAGCAGGAAGATTTCCAGTGGTCAGAAGGTCAGGCTTCAGAGGAGCTTGGCTCCTTCATTAGATCATCCCAGTGTTCTCAAGGCAAAAAATCAGCAAAGATATTTGCCATCCAGGAGATGGGGCGGTTCATGGCCCCGGCACACAATCTTGAGGGGAGCAAACCAGCATCTCTGTCGCGCCCTGCCTGGCTCCGGCAGTGAGGGCTGGGTGAGTGCCAAGGGCAAAGAGCATCCTCTGTGCCCCTACCCTGCCCGGCGCATGAGCACCTGCCTGGCAGCGTCAGCAGCAAGAGCTGGGCGAATGTGCTCCACTCCCTCCGGTGAACATTTGCACCACCCCTGGTGCTGGCAAATAGCGCTACACCCCTGCCCAGAAGAGTTTGGCCTCCAACACCTCTGCGCTCTCGCTGGAGGGAGGCAAGCCCAGGAAATGCAGGTGAGGAGGGGCCACCTGCTCTGTATGCAGAAGGTCCCAGGTCCAATTCCAGGTGTCTCCTGGTGCCAAGAAAGGGCCCCCAAGCCCCAGGAGACCACCTGCTGGTCACAGGTAGGCCACAGTGGGCTACATCTTCCTCCCCACACCTTCAATGAAGAAAAATGTGGTGGACAGAACAAAGCCTGCCTCACATGTAAATTCAGAAAGTGTGCCTTGACTACCGGAGGGTTAGCCAACACCATCTTGAACCCATTTTGAGGTATACTCCATATTTAGGTGCCAGCAAGCCTCTCACCAACACCAGGCTATCGAGGGAGCGGGTTGCAATGCCAGCTGCTTCGAATGCTTGGCATTTGCTAGTGCAGCAATCTTGTAGGTCAAAGTCACCCACCAAGTATTCCTGAAAAAACAAGGCACCAGTGGGCGATTAACCCCTTGGGTAAGGTTACTGCCATAAAAGGGGACCGGGTATATAGTGTGACAGACAGCCTCAGAGCCTTATAGGATTACAGACACCAACCAATACACCCATAAATCAGACCTCTGAAGTCTGAGGATGCATGGAAGTGTGCAAACTACTGCCCAGAGGGGCCACTGCACCTGTGTTTCCTCAAGAGCAGAGGGACTAGCATCCAGCAGGGCCACCTGCTGCTAAAACTGAGGGAAGCCTCAAAACTCATGTCTGTAACAACACTGCAGCAATCTGCCAAAGTCCAAACTGCCCCACGGCAGCCTCCCCTGTCCCTCTGGCCCAGGCAGGAGCCCTACCTTCTTTAGCTTGTCGTTCTCCTCCATGTACTTCTTGGCCGCATCGCTAGCTCCTTCTGCCTGCTTCTTGAAGGCTTCGTTCGAAGCCAGGATGGTGGCGTGCTGGGAGATGAGGGTGACCAGGCGTCTCAGCAGACTGCAAGGACAGAGGCAGAAGGTGGCTCAAAGAGGGCATCACAAACCAAGTCAACACAGAGAGGTCTTTAGATCTGGGTCTGCTGTAAAGGGCACTAGAGTGACCTAGTTGATAAAGCACCGGGTTCAATTTCCAGGTCAGTCACAGGCTTCCCAACTGGCCTTGGGAAAGGAGGATTTTGTACTGGAAACTGGGGGTGGCAGTAGCTTCCTTACCTACCAAGGCTGTCTCTGAATACTGGGGAAAGCAAGCAAGGAACACAACTTGGCCTTGCCCAAGGCTAACCAGGTGGGACTTGAATCTGAACCCAGTAGTGCTTTATCAGCTGGATCACTGAAGCCCCCACTTCCAGTCATAAAACGACTGAGCCATGCATACCCTTTGGGGAAAACAGAACAGCAAGGCCTAACAATGTCTCTGACCAGAAAAGACTGGTAAGAAAATGGAAGGCCGGTTTTGCCTTCAACAGGATCGTGGGTTTAACTGCAGTAGAGAAGACTGTGCTTCACGTCAAAAGTTCAAGGATGGGGACCTGTGACTTTCTGGATATTGCTGGACCACCATCTCCCACCATCCATGGCCACGGGCCATGCTGGCTGGGGCTGACACAACCTGGAGTCCAACATTATCCATAGGGCTACTTAGGATCCCCAATCCTGCTTCATGTCAGTGTTCCCCAAACCTTTGATAAAAGAAGCTGCCTTATACAGAGTCAGGACATTGGTCTATCAAGCCCACTATCGTCTGTACCCCGACCAGCAGAGATTCTGCAGCACAGGAGTTCTCTTTCCGCACCAAGACAGAAGAGAGCAAAAGTCAGAAGTGCAGGATCCGTGGAGGGCTTGGCCAAAGCCTTTGCTGCCTCCCAAGTCAGGAAGGAGCAAGTCAGGAAGTGGTTGTGGCCCCTGCCAATGCAGGGACAGCTCCACACTGAGAACCCATTCTGCCAGCCCTTCTGCAATTGTTTATATCAAAATATGGCCTCTCTTACGAGGTTGTCGCTCACCAGGGCTCTCAGCTTAGAGATAGCTCCTTCCCCACCCTCCACCTGCTATCACCACTGCTTCCCTCCATCTTAGCCTTATCACTTCTTGCCCCATCCCCACCCGAGAAGCAAGAACAATGAGGCAACACTTCCTGGACTTGAAAGAAGCCACCGCACATCACCCTTTCAAAGAGCAGCTCCTTTTCAGCAGTAGAAGAAGAGAAGAGTTTGGATTTGATATCCCACTTTATCACTACCCTAACAATCTCCTTTCCCTTCCTCCCCACAACAAACACTCTGTGAGGTGAGTGGGGCTGAGAGACTTCAGAGAAGTGTGACTGGCCCAAGGTCACCCAGCAGCTGCATGTGGAGGAGCAGGGAATCGCACCCGGTTCACCAGATTACGAGTCCACTACCCTTAACCACTACACCACACAGGCACCACAGGAGGCAGACTAACGTACAGAGAACCATGCAGAGCCAGCCCCCGGAGCTGCACAAGTCAGGCGCTCCATGGCAAGGCTTACACAAGCCCTTCCGGCAGCTTGGACTGGCCCAGGGGAAGGAAGGCTGCCACATCCAGGAGCCACCAAGCAGATCAGTCGTGACAAGGGAGTGCCAGGACACAGGCCAAGAGTGCCACCCACAAAGCTCAGCCTTGGCCAGATGTCAAACAGGCTTTTGCCACCACCAGATGACCACTGTCTGTTAGAGGCCACAGACCGAAATGTCGGTCAGAGAAGGGAGTGAGGTGGCAATAAACCCAGGGCAAGGCGAAGGTGGCCCTCAGCACAGATTCCTCTGGCTGCAAGAGCTGCCAACGCAAGGCCACAAAGCGGAACGAGAGAACACTGGCAGTCCCTTCGAGTGCTTCAATGACAAGTGAAGCCCAGAGAAGGGTGGTTTGCAGCTCTCGCCTGGAGAAAATGCTCCTTCCTGTTTTTTCAAAAGCTTCTCTCGATAGCGAGGACACAAGAGAGGGAAGGGTAGGCCTTTTACCTTTCTGAATAACCGCCTTGCAAGTCAACGTGCTTTCAAGGGCAAGGGAAGGGCAATGCCACCTTGGACAAGCGTTATGGGAGTGAGATCTGGCCCAGGACTCCCAGTTCCCTCTGTATAGCCATTCTGAGCACGGACAACAAATGCATTTTGCAACAATGAAAGGGAAAGTGAGCTGAGAAGCTGCAGCCCGAAGGCCAAGGGCTGTGCTCACAAAACCAGAACATCCCGCCTCCTGGCCAGACACTCACACACAGCAAAGATATGGAAGCCGACAGCTCCCCCCCCCATCCCTACTTCCAGCCCCAGCTGCACAGTCAAGCACATTCCCTTTGTATGCAACTCTGCGCCCAGGCTGCTGATTTATGGCCCACAGGCATTGTTCACACCCTTCGCCAGCTGTCCTGTGCGGCCAAAAGCGGCTGCTCATCAAACCAGAGAGCTGGCTGGACAGGCACCGCAATGGACACAACAGAGACCCTGCAGCCTGCTCACAGCGCCAGGGAGGACATGCGCCCCTGGTTCAGCTGGCCTGTGAGCAGCTGCTGCCAACGCAAGGACCACTGGCAAGGGGGAAGGGGTGGAGCAACTGCTCTGCGTGCAGGAGGCCCCAGGTTCAATGGCATCTCCAGGTGGGGCTAGAAATGCCCCCTGCCCCGCCTGAACCCCTGGGGGCTGTGGCTGCCAATCAGCGTGGCAATATCCAGACCAGCCTTTCTCAGCCTGTGGGTCCCCGGATGTTGTTGAACTACAACTCCCATCACCCCTAGCTAGCAAGGCCCGAGCTCAGGGATGATAGGAGTTGTAGTCCAACAACATCTGGGGACCCACAGGTTGAGAACCGCTAATCTAGATGGACAGCCGCTCTAACTCAGCACAAGGTCATCTTCCTACGCTGGGGGAAGGGCCACATCTCAGTGGCAGAGCGTCTGCTCTGCATGCAGATGGTCCCAGGGTCAGTCCTCAGCACCTCTAGGTAAGGCTAGGAACACCCTCTGGCTGAACCCTGTACAGCCTCTGCCAGCCTGTGCAGACAATGCTGGGCTAGATGGACGAATGGTCTGACTCTCAACAGGTTGCAAAATGAATAGCAAACATAAAAACCCATTATGTGGACAGGAGAAGAGAGAATAACTTTAGGAATTGGAATTCCACCTCTTTTAGGCTTCTTACTGTTAATCTCAGAAGCTTCTAAAGAATAAGTTGGCTCAAAGGGCCAAGGGCTGCCTGGCCCTCACTACAGTCCAAGGGCACAGAAGTGGTGGTTCTGTCCAGAGAAAGCGTCCGGCATGTGCTCATTAGGGCATCACTTTGTGGCTTAATCCCCAACTCTGAAGAGTCTACTCTACTGGCTTGTAGACTCAGCTGCTGTCCTCATCCTCGGGAATTTCAGTAAGAGGTCAGAGATTATGCACGCCTGCCACCTTGTGGCCAGAGAGAGCACAGCAGGCTGCTTCAGCCTCTGCAACTACTTGACTCTAGTCTAAACAGAAGCAACAGGAATACAGTGGGTAACTTCGGGTTTACATATGCTTCAGGTTCCATAAGCTTTCAGGTTACAGACCTCCGCGAACACAGAAATAGGTAGCCCTTGGTAAGAACTTTGCTTCAGATGAGAAGCAGAAATTGTGCCGGTGGAGCAAGCAGCGGTCAACCACCACCTGGTCCTCACAGTCAAGTTTTTAACTGTGGAAAGGCGGCATACAAATAAAATGATGATGATCTCACAACCAGATGCTTTTTGGAAGTCCAAAAGCAGGGCCTGGGCACAGCAGCAGCCTCTCTGGACGCCTGGCTCACTGCCTGTGTCGGTGGAGGCAGAACGTAGACATTGTGGCTTTGATAGGTTACATACGCTTCAGGTTACAGACTCCGCTAACACAGAAATAGTACAGTGGTGCCTCGCAAGACGAAATTAATTTGTTCGGCGATTTTTTTCGTCTTGCGAAGCACAGTTTCGGAAAAGTTTTGGAAAAGCTTCAAAAATCACCAAAGTCTTCAAAAACCTCAAAAAAGGCTACCACACCGCGTGCTATGAGTTGCTCCTCGAAGTCAAGTCGCAACTGTGTTAACGGTTTTAAGAAAAAGGAAACAAACTTGCAAGACATTTCCGTCTTGCGAAGCAAGCCCATAGGGAAAATCGTCTTGCGAAGCAGCTCAAAAAACGGAAAACCCTTTCGTCTTGCGAGTTTTCCGTCTTGCGAGGCATTCGTCTTGCGAGGTACCACTGTACCTTGGGTTAAGAACTTTGCTTCAGGATGAGAACAGAAATTGTGCGGTGGCAGCAGCAGCGGGTCAACCACCACCTGGTCCTCACAGTCAAGTGGAGGCAAGAGGGAGCAAGCAGTGCATGGCCAGCTACTGCATAGTCCCATTATTTATTATTATTTGTATACTGCCCTTCACCTGAAGATCTCAAGGCAGTTCACAGCATAAAAATACGTAATAAAAATAAGAACAATCTGTGGGAACTGGAGCATCCAGAGGGCCACCTCTTAGGAATCTTAGCAAGTCTTGGATAGTAAGCGGGAATACAGAAGGCACTGGGAATAAGGCACTGAGATGAGCAGTTGCATCAGTCGCAGCCAGATTGCATCACCCTTCGCACCCACCTCTTGCCAGTAAGGCCAAACTGTCAGCAAGGCCCTTGACATAGTTCTTGCAGATCGTGTTGCTGTATAGAAATTTTGACACCCTGCCTTCTCCAAGAGGCCTTCCAAAAGAGCTAGGCTGCTGTGCCAGACTGATGCTGAAAACAGGAGTCCTGCTCTGAAGATTAACAGGTTTTTTACAGCATAAGCTTTTGATGGGATGGAAGCCACCCAGACAGACAAGAGAGAGAAAAGAAACAGAGAGATAGCACCCAATGAGGCTCTAAACGGTCTAGGACCTTCGTACCTACGGGACCGCCTCTCCCGGTATGCCCCACAGAGAGCCTCAAGGTCCATAAATAGCAACACCCTAGAGGTCCCAGGCCCTAAGGAAGTTAGATTAGCTTCAACCAGAGCCAGGGCCTTTTCAACTCTGGCTCCAGCCTGGTGGAACGCTCTGCCTCATGAGACCAGGGCCCTGCAGGATCTGATTTCTTTCTGCAGGGCCTGTAAGACAGAGTTGTTCCGCCTGGCCTTTGGCTTGGAGCCAATTTGATTCCCTCCCCGTCTTTTTTTTTTCTTTTTCCTTTCTCCTCCTGTGATAAGGATGCATTTTAATATTTTAATGTTTCAATATTTTAATGTTGTATTTTAATCTTGTTTTTATTGTTGTATTCATTCAACTTGTTTTTATTATTGCTTGTTAGCCGCCCTGAGCACAGCCTTGGCCGGGGAGGCCGGGGTATGTATGTATGTATGTATGTATGTATGTATGTATGTATGTATGTATAAATAAATAAATAAATTATTATTATTATTATTATTATTATTATTATTATTATTATCCAGGAACAGGAAACCAGTGTGGCCCTCTAGATCAGGCATCCCCAAACTCGGCCCTCCAGCTGTTTTGGGACTACAACTCCCGTCATCCCTAGCTAACAGGACCAGTGGTCAGGGATGACGGGAGTTGTAGTCCCAAAACAGCTGGAGGGCCGAGTTTGGGGATGCCAGCTCTAGATGCTGTTCTCCAGCCCTGACCTAAACAGAGCAACGCAAATGGGAGCAGGGAGAAGAGGCAAGCCCCTCTGCAGCTCACATCACACTCGTTGTCAAAGCTTCCAGAAGGGAGAGCAGGGAAATGTGATGAAAACCGTGCCTCCTTTTGTACAGCAGTGGTTTTCAAATCTATCTTCAGGGAGTAATTTTTAGTATTGCTTTGCCTGCCAATCTGTGTATCTCACAGTTGTTGAGACAGCCTGGGCATGCACCGTGCGAACAACACTGCAGAAGGTTAACTGCATTGCTTATGCAAGGGTGGGGAGACTTTTTCGTCCACCATGGGGGCCAACCTTGACAGGTGAGTGGTGCAATCCATCCCAGAGGCGAAACTAGGCTTTATTTCACTTGGGTCAAAGACCCAGTTGGGTACCCAATCCCCCAATGCATATTTGCATATATATGCACACACAGCCTGGGAGCCTCAAAGACGCCCCTCTGGAGGCTTCACCTGAGCAGAAACCCTGGCTAGCCCCCGCCTCCTATAGCTAAGGCTCTAAGGCAGACAACACCAGATGATTGGCAAGTGGGTTGTCCCACCCACTCCTCCAAATTCATTGTGCAGGGTTCCCAAACTTGGCTCCACAGCACAGGAGGCATTGCCAGCCCTGTGCTTTCCATGTTCTGTAGGTTGAAAGGAGAAGCACAGGCAGCTTCAAAGAGCAGTTGCAAAAAGGGAGAAGCAGCTTCCACTGAATAGAAACCACATGCCCACCTCAAGCAAGGTGCGTTCCTACTGCCCATCATTTGATGCCATGTCTGGGAGTATACCTTGCTCCAGGGGGAAAAACAGTCAGGAATCCACTTTAAGCTCCTGGTTGTTCCTTTGAAACCCCACCTTTACCTGTCCCACACCTGCTATCATGTACCGTAATTTTCGCTCTATAACACGCAGATTTTTTCTCCTAAAAAGTAAGGGGAAATGTCTGTGCGTGTTATTGAACGAATGTGTGGTCCCTGGAGCTGACTCACCGGAGCGCAGGGGCAAAAATAGGCAAAAATCAGACAAAAATAAGATGGGCGGGCGGGCGGAGGGAAGGCGGAAGCTGCTGCTTTCCTGCATTCTGCCTCAGGGTCTTACTGCCCACCCGCTTCTGTTGCTGCGTTTGCTCAAACTCAACAAAGAGCAGGGAATCCCCTGCCCTCCTGGCAAGCAGAGGGTTAAGGAAAGGATCGAGTCCTTCCTTCTAATTCTTTCCTAGTCACACTGCGGCGCAGGCTCCAGCCCACCACCTCCTCCTCTCCGTGCTCTAGGGACTCGCAGGCAGCCGAAAAACATGCAGATGGGAGAGAGAGAGAGAGAGAGAGAGAGAGAGAGGGAGAGGGAGGGCTGGCTTAGGTGGGTGGGTGGGGGGAACTTTTGCCTTCCTTTCCTCCCACCACCCCGTTAAACTCCTCCCCTGCATTCTTAGCCAGCTGCTTCTCCGCACACCCCTCTTGTGCTCCTTGTCCCTTCTGTGTTTTTCCTTCCCTCCCCATTTAAAACGTGGTGACAAAGCACGGATCCACATGGATCCTCAGGATCTTTGCATTGGGTCACCCCAAATTCACCATCAGATCACATTACATGTCCATGGCTACAGTCTGTACCAAAAAAATCACGCACCCACTGTTGCCTGGGGCTGCAATGGTGCAAAAACGTGGTTACAAAGCATGGATCCACAGGATCTTTGCACTGGGTCACCCCAAATTCACCCAGATAACATAGCATTTCCATGGCTACAGCCTGCACCAAAAAAATCACGCACCCACTGTTGCCTGGGGCCACAATGGTGCAAAAACGTGGTTACAAAGCATGGATCCACATGGATCCTCAGGATTTTTGCATTGGGTCACCCCAAATTCACCATCAGATCACATAGCATGTCCATGGCTACATCTTGCACCAAAAAAATCACGCACCCACTGTTGCCTAGGGTCGCAGTGGTGCAAAAACGTGGTTACAAAGCATGGATCCACATGGATCCTCAGGATTTTTGCATTGGGCTACTCCAAACTCACTGTCAGATCACATGTCTGTGGCCACAGCATGAACCACAAAAAATCATACATCCACTGTTTCATTCAGAATATTTTTTTTCTTGTTTTCCTTCTCTAAAAACTACGTGTGTGTTATGGTCTGGTGCGTGTTATAGAGCGAAAAATACGGTATGTGGGGCGGTGGGCCTGGATTCACAAAAAAGCCTTGTAGGCCAAGTGGGCAGGCCTGGCTAGCCATGTTTGGCCCGTGGGCCAGAGGCTCCCCACCTCTAGCTTTGCCATCCTCTCGGGTGGCGCTGTGGGTTAAACCACAGAGCCTAGGACTTGCCGATCAGAAGGTCGGTGGTTTGAATCCCCACAACGGGGTGAGCTCCCATTGCTCGGTCCCTGCTCCTGCCAACCTAGCAGTTCGAAAGCACGTCAAAGTGCAAGTAGATAAATAGGTACCGCTCTGGCGGGAAGGTAAATGGCGTTTCCGTGAGCTGCTCTAGTTCGCCAGAAGCGGCTTAGTCATGCTGGCCACATGCTGGCTGTATGCCGGCTCCCTCGGGCAGTAAAGTGAGATGAACGCCGTAACCCCAGAGTCGACCACGACTGGACCTAATGGTCAGGGGTCCCTTTACATTTACCTTTAATCCAGCTCTGCAGCCAACACCTACGGTGCAAGACAACCAGGCAAAGCGTCATTAAGAGAAGATGTCAAAGCCTGCCTAGAAGCTTTTCTCTGCAAAGGAGAATATATGGAGGCCATCCTTGCGAGGGGGAGAGGGATGCTCCCTAGAGAACTCTTTGCTTCTATATGCAAGAACTATGTCAGGGGCCACAAAGTAAATAATTTGGTTCTTACTGGCAAGAAGTGGGTGCTAAGGGTGATGCAATCTGGCTGCAGCTGATGCTCCCCTCAATGCCTTTATTTCCAGTGCCTCCTGAATTCAAACCTACTATCCAAGCCTTACCCAGATTCGCAAGCATCTGGCCCAGGGATTGGGAAATGTTAGCCCTCTAGATGCTGTTAAGACTCCAGTTTCCATCAGGCTCCAGGCAGCATGGCTAATAGTCAGGGGTGATGAGTTTGGCCGGCCACGCAGCTTGCCCACCACCTGATCTGGCCACAGCAGTGCCGGAGGTACTCACAAGGACATCAGCAGCGAGAAGCCAGCAATGTAGAGGTTCCGCTGGGCTCGGAAGAGCTTCATGTGATAATGCTCCACAGCCCCAGGGTTGGTCTGCAGGTTCACTTTCTCGGTCACATCGTCATATTTCCGGATCTCACGAATGGCATCTGAAAGTCACAAATTTATATACGAGTCAGAGCTCCACAGACTGACAATTTATTTGCAAGCCTTGCTTGAACTTAAGCTCCGGTTGGTTTCTAGAGATTTCGTCCCAAGCCCAGCCCATTGCTATGAATCCATGAATCCAGCTGCAGTCTTTGACAAGAATCCACCAAAAGCCATCATGCCACAACAGCATGTGTTCCGGACAGAAGTATAAAGGTAGGTTTTGGTCATGCCAACTTGAGAATGCTTGTCCCATTGACCAACGGTAGGGTCCCCAAAGCAGGTCTTAGACTGATGGGAACATAAACAAGCTTTTCAGCTGCCCCCACACAATGCAACACTTTGCTACCCTCCTACCATGAGGAGCCTCTGGGTAATTCCCACTGGTCCAGAATATAGTAGCACAATTTCTGTCTAGAACTAACCTCCAGGAGCATATCTCACCTCCCAGAACAGGGCTGGGGACCTGTGGCTCTCTAGCTATTTATGGACTCCAGCTCCCATCAGCCCCAGCCAACACAGCCAATGATTGGAGGTGAGAGGAGCTGTAGTTCAACAACTACTTTGGGGGGGGGGGCGTCACAAGCTCCCCAGCCCAGTCTCTGAGGAGAGCGCCATTAGCTGCCAGCTTGTTTTCAGGCCCAGTTTAGGGTGTTGGCTTTCAATCTTTAGAGCCCTCAGTGGCCTTGATCTAGGAAGCCACTTAATGAGCTTTTTCTCTTATACTTGCCACCCACCACATTAATTAAGATTGACACATGAGACATTACTTCACATCATCATGATCATCTGAGGCAAGATCAGCTGTCACCAGGAATAGGATATATTCAGCATGGCGCCCAAGTTAAATTCCCTCCTGAGAGAAAACTGTCAGTTCCACTCCATTGTCATATATTTCAGGGCTTTTTTTTTTTTTTTTTTTGGTTAAAAGAATAACGATAATGAGGTGCCGGTTCGAGTATCTATACCAAAGTGCTGTGGGTGCCAGCACAAAATGGCTGCCATGAGCATCAAAGAAACAGAGGTGCCAGTACTCCATACTGGTGATTACTGTTAGAAGGGGGCGGAAAGGCCCTGCTTCTCATGCTTGAGAATTAAGCCAATGTTAGCTGAAAGGTCTGTGTAGACGTAAGACAATGTCACCCCTCCTTCATTCCGTTCCATTCTGAAACAGTACGAATGCTATTTGGGTATTAACATTACAAGCCATTTTGACAGCCTAAGTCATGCCAATGCAGGATTGCAAAATAAAGTTCTGACTCCTCACTGACTGTGCTAAAGGGGAAACTATTTCCTCACATATTCAGCCTCGCCAAGTATTCTAAAAGCAGCGGACCTCCAATACCAGGCGACATGTTGGTCACATGATTGTGCTGCCCAGGCCTCTTTTTCTTTTAGCAACAGAAATTGCTGGGGTGCAATCCAGATGGGGATCACAGTGCATGGACCGGGGGGTGTGGTGTGGTGGTGACCCTACTCCACAGCTTTTTTCTAACTAGAAATTTGCCACAAGCAGCTTCGGAGGCAATTTTGAGGGGGGAAATGTGTGGAGAAGGGGCAACTCCCTCACCCCACAAATCCTACCCAAAGTCAAACCCCCACAGCTGATATTTCCAGAAGGAAAATCAAGCTCAAGTCACATGGCAAACATATCATCCAGTCTGGGTCAAATGTGATAGTCATGTTTCAAGAATATATGGGGTTAGCAGGAAAAAGGTAACTAAAGTTTGAAGTGACTGAGAACTAAAGCACTGAATTTCTTCTCCTCCTAGGCCCAGTGTGGGGATCCTGAGGCCCAGGGGCCAAGTGCACACCCATCTACCCCCAAGACCTCTCTATCTGGCCCACACGACTCTCTCCAGGACACAGCCCACACTAGCACCTGCCCCACTTTCTTCTTGAGGGCTTTTGCCTGACTGGAACTGAGACTAGAGAGGTCTGCATAGGAACCTCTGGATTTTACGTGACTTAAATGGAGCCTGCTATATGAAAGCGAGTCATGTCTGGGGTTCTACCCATTTTTTTGCCTCTGGCCATGCCCATTTTGTGGCCCCCAGGAGGAAAAAGTGCCCTATCCCTGCCCTAGACAATTATTACAAGAAAGCCTCTTCAAAAGAAAAAAGAAACCCTGTGCAACAACTTCTTCTGCTAGCACAATGGGGCTTGCCCCTCCAGTTGGCTCTGGGGGTCAGGAGAACCACTGGGACAGCAGGCAGGTGGAGGAGAAGGCAGCTCATTTCATCAGGAAAGCAGAAATGAGTGAGCCGACAGAGCGATCCGCTTGGCTCTATGTTGAATTCATTCCCTAAAACAGGACAGCTGACTGATGACCCATGGGCTGGACTTGCCTTCTTGTGGTGCCACGTGAACATGGCTCATATTGGTTCTATAATAATGCCTGCATTTGTGTGGACACAAGTCCACCAGCTCCATCCCTAGGGAGCCCCGACAGCCAGACGGCACAAGCTGATGGGATGGTGCTCTACTCACTCATAAGACAAATGCTTCAGTGGAGATTCCAGCATTGCAGTGGGTTGGACTAGATGACCCTCAGGGTTTCCTTCCAACTCTACAATGCTGAGTCCATGAAAGGGATTTGTACAGAAAAGTGCACTTCTCACCCTCACTGACCCACTGAAAACTCCAGGGGGCAGCAGAAGCCAACTTCTTGCATACCTTGCAAGCTCCATCTCTGCATGAACTGCATCTTGCATGTGCCATTTTAACACTCTCTTGCCAAAGGAAGCGGAAGCAGAGAAACCTGCTGAAGAACAGCCAGAAATGTTTCACAGGGAAGAGCCTACCTGTCACTGGGCATGTGCTGCTGGCTAGAACGCTGGATTCTGGGCCATCACTGCAGGTGACTTTAGAGGCAGTGACAAAGAACATGGTGCCCTCCAGGTGCTGGCATACTGCAACTCCTAACAGCCTCAGCCAGCATGACCAATGGTCAGAGATGATGGGAGTTGTAGTTCAGGGGCAGCTGAAGGGCGCTATGTTGGCCATCCTTGCTTTAGGGGAAATTGAGTTCCCCTAAGACAACAGCCCAGCCACAGCATCTATCTTAATGGAGGGGGAGGTAAGAATGGGCCCAACTTCTGATCCAATTTATTTCTAAGCCGTTTCTCCATCTCAAAGGCCTTCAAAGTGCCGGCAACCTTATCTTTTAAAAATATAGAATTCTGCACCATAAAACTGGATCAGGAGCGACACGCACACAATCCAGGGGAGAGCTTGTCCACAAAGGCACTACATAAAGGCTGTGCCAAGTGCATAGCTGTCAACCTTCCCTTTTTTTGCGGGAAATTCCCTTATTTCCAGCGCCGTTTCCTGCTGCTTCCCGCTGCTATCCCAGATTGTTAGATATCCTGTAGACTGTCCCTGGGACAGGTGAGGCTGCTGATCCCTTATTTTCATATCCGAAAGTTGACAGCTATGGTCAAGTGTCAAAATGTGAGCAGGGAGAGGGGGCCAAGTGAGCCCTTCAGGGAATGGAGTTCCATCATCTGGGAGAAACAACCAAAATGCTCTGCCCTGTGTAGAGGTAGATGGGCAGGGTATAAATAAAAAATTATTATTATAAATTATTATAACAGTGGCAGAGCAGGGAATCTACTGAGGACCTCAGAAGGCAGAGAAGTATCACATGAAGGAGGCTGATCCTGAAATGCCCTGATGCAAGGGGCTTAAAACAAATTGGTTTGCTTTATGTGGAACTGGTGTAGTGAAGGTAGGGGTCAAAAGAGCAGCCTCATTTCACAAGGCTTCCAGGGTCTCTCTCCCCCCCCCACCTGAATAGAATACATTGCCATAACCCACACAAGAGATATTTGGCATCCTAGCCCAGCTGCTGATGCAAAGCAGAGTTGTCTACTCAGCTGTCCTGAGCAGTTACTGTATTTTTTGCTCTGTAAGACTCACTTTTTCCCTCCTAAAAAGTAAGGGGAAATGTGTGTGCGTCTTATGGAGTGAATGCAGGCTGCACAGCTATCCCAGAAGCCAGAACAGCAAGAGGGATCGCAGCTTTCACTGCGCAGTGATCCCGCTTGCTCTTCTGGCTTCTGAGATTCAGAATATTTTTTTCCTTGTTTTCCTCCCCCAAAAACTAGGTGCGTCTTGTGGTCTGGCGCATCTTATAGAGTGAAAAATACGGTAAGTTGAAAGAAGGTACTTATAAAGCAGAGGTCGGTCATCTCCACCACTTTCACACCTGCAACCCCCAATATTTTGACACCGGCTTTCCTCCTCTGATTTATCTTCAATTCTTACTCTTCTAGGATTTTCCAGAGCACAGAACTGCTTCTGATTGCCTTTTGGATTTCACAGCCACCCTGTGAGGAAGACCCCAAGAAAATTTGAACCTCAATCCTTCACGGCCAAACCCAGCACAGCACTCTGGGCAAAGCCCTACCCCAGCTACATGGAGGGAGATGAAAGGGTGGTTCTCCTGAATCACTAGCCAAGATAAAGTTGAGCGGGTGTGGAGAAAGGCCCTGAACCACAGCCACGTTCCTGTCCCCTTTCTGTCAGAGTGCTGGGCTATGAGCAGCTCAGAGAGCACAGGAGGAAGAAGTGGCCCAAGGCCCTGGGGACCTGGCCAGCACCTGGCAGGCACAGGCAGAGAAGCAAACGCTCCCATGAGCGGGTGAGGCGAGAACCCCCGCCCCAAGCACACTGGCTTCCTTCCACTCACCAAGAAACAACAGGACCAGGATGACTATGAGCACAACAAAGAAGGTATTCCCATAGGCCAACACTATCTTCACCAAGCGGGACTTGAAGATTTTCTGCCATCTGTGGAAGAAGGTTGGAGGTTAGGATCAATGCTTTGCAGGAAACAAACAGAAACACACTTGACCGCAACACAGGCAGCAGCTTGTTCTGCTATGGGTGGGGAAGCAAAATGGAGACAGGACCCAGTATTTAGGAGGCTGCGGACAAGCGACAACCAAGACTGGGATGGTAAACCTCCAGATGCAATTGGCCTATAACATTCCCATCATCCCAGAGTATTAGTCATGCTGGCTGGGCTGATGGGAGTCTCAGAAACATCTGGAAGGCTCTAGGTTCCCCCTTCCCCGCCTCCAGGGATTTCCCGCCTCCCCGGTTACCTCTGCCTAACCTGACGGCATGGAGCCACTTTCAGGCAGAAGGCATTCTGGGGCTACATCAATGCCTTGGAGGGAGTGTAACTCTCCTAGAAGAAATCAGGAGACAACTCGGTAATTGCCAAGCAACTAATGAAGAAGCCGCTTTCCTCCCCATCCCGACAGCCTTCCGTCTGGGTTAAACAGCAGCGGAAGAGATGCCAGAAGGAGATGGGAGGAAGGAAGGGGGGGGAGAGAATGTGTATGTTGGGAAGAGAACTCAGCTTCCTGAGAGTCTTGCATATATATATTTTTAAAAAGAAAACTAAGGTTCTGGGCCTCATAGCTGGGAAGGTATGTTTGTAAGGGGAGCAGTGCCTGTGAAAGTCTCAAAAGCCAGAGGAGCAGCCAAGGAAGGCTTCCAGGAGCTAGAGACAGAGCTGAAGTGCCCCAGGCAGCTCTTTGCTTCTCCCAAAAAGTTAGATTAGCATAACTATGCAGGGTTTAAGTAGGTCATTTTAAGGATTGTGACACATGGCACCAAACACAAAAGTATTTTTTAAGCAATTGCCTCTCATTTTCCAATCATGTCACACAAAAGATTCCATCAACAATCGGATTTCATTAACTGGATTATGCAAACTAAGTTTACGAGTGTTAGAAATTCAGATATAGATCGCCAAATGGCACCTTAAACCAAGGCTGCGGTCACCCCAATGGCACCATTCCCCACCCACCCCATGGGACGATGACGATTATTATTATTATTACTATTTCCATTTCTATACTGCTTTATATTTTAAAGAACAAATCTCTGTGTTTTACAACACATTAAAACATCAAATAAAACAATTCAGAATAAATCTAATTCAGGCTTCAAGGAAAGTATTTCAGATTCTTCTCGAAGTGGCATTTTGTTTTCCTCAGTCGCCAGCCCGGCATCCAGAGATCTCCATGTGGTCACAATTGAACCCGCACCAGTCGCAACTGGCTAATTCCAAACACCGTTTACAAGTTTATGTAGCAAAACATGGCTTTTCTTGCTGCAGAATCTGCAAAATTTGGACTTAGCAGGCTACAGAATTTTATTTCTTAGTGCATCAGAATACAAACAGCCCTGACGGTGAGCTTCACTATCAACCTTTGTAATAGTAATAAAAAATTACTTTGCCGCCCTTCTATAAAGTTCCAGAGTTGCAGCACTTTTTAATAGGTATTTTAATCATCTTAAAATAAATTAGTGTCGTAGAATAGGGTGGTTCCTAAGAACACTGTCCAAGAACTATGTCCTACATAAGGGCTGTTGCACCATTTCCTAACCACAACCCCCCTCTGAGCTACTTAACAGACGTTTGACAATAAGGAACTTGGCTAAATAAATGGGAGTGACTTTTCATCCACCTCCTTGTCTCCTCTCACAGATTCCAGTGACAACCAGATATTAAAAATAATTTCCCATCGGTCTGCAAGAGGTAATCACTCTCACCCAGCTCAACCCACTGTTTCATTGACAGGCATCCGCCTCCTGCAACATCCTAGAAACCAAGGCCGAGAGAGGGTGTGATTGCGTCCTTAATTGTGTTACACAACAGCTGTGGCCTGGAAAGGCTCCTAGGTTCACCCGCAATCCCATCCCCACCTCAGCTCACCTTGTTGCTGAGATAAAGGGTATGCACAGGAGGAAAACGAGGAGGACTTCTGCATAGAGGAAGGTGGCCACAGCCGCCCACTGGAGACTCATCATGAGAAGCTTGGAAGGGACTCTACGTCGGAGAGACTGAAGACTTCACGGCTAGGATGCAATTCTTAGCTGGAAGAGAGAGACAAGACACTTGAATATGAAATTTGCTGCGCGAAATCCCCTATGTTGTACCCTCGCAGCAACAACTGCTCAACTCCAAAGCTAAGGTTTAACCTGTATGGCACACTGAAGGAGGAAGAAGCCACAGCTTTCGGTTCCCCCTTATCTAACTATTTAGGCAGCACTGGGTAACCTATGGTCCTCCAGATGGCAATGGACTCCAAATCCCATCACCTCCAACTAGCATGGTCAATGGTCAGGGATGACCACTAGGAGTTGTACAACAACATCTAGAGGACCACAGGTTCTTCCCTTCTGCTTTCAAGACTGCCTAAGCTTATATACCATGCGAGTTCACTGCCATCTCAGAGGACAGCCTTTGAGTAAGCTCAGGCAGGGTCTGCCTGCAGGATCAGAGGCAGTGTATCTTGCTGGGGTTCCACAAGTGGGGCAAGTGCCGTTGCCTTTGCTATGGGCTTATGAGAACAGGATGCTAGACTAGATGGCCCAATCCAGCAGGGCTCCGATGCACTTAAAGTCTGTAATGTTTGTGAAACCCACATCAACACCCCCCCAAAGAAAAATGTATTTGGCACAATGGTCAGAACATGTCGTTAAGCTGCTCAAGAACTGGAACAAGTTTGTTCTTTTTCCTTACATAATTAGGTTCATCCTCACATTTCAGCATTTATTCTTTTGTACCTTGTGAGCTGCCCAAAATACATGTTATATAGTTTGTTTTATGATAATTTTGATTGTTCCTATCTTTATACAGTTTATTATCATCATTATTATTTTTAATTTAGTACCCGCCTTTCACCCTAAGGTTGCAAGGCGAGTCACAACAATTAAAAAACTTACAACTGAAACACAATCACAAAAAATAGGGAGGGTCCTGGTCTGTAATTTTATGTACACCACTTAAAAACGTTAATGGTTTAAATAAATACATATATTATTTATATTAAATAAATATATTCTTAACACAGCTTGCTCCATGGGAGATTTCTCTGTTTGCAATCCAGCCAGAGATGGGTACATTAATGAAGCTCCCAGACAGAGCCATTAATGAAAAGTGCCCTATGATAATCTTCTGCTGTCTCTTTAGATCAAGGCCTCTTTCTCCTCCCCGCCTCCCTTTTGATTTTACCTTCAGATTAGGGTTGGGGGAATCTGTGACCCTTCAGATGTTACTGGACTGCAGCTCCTTCCCATTAGCCCTAGCCAATGACCAATGACCAGACTTGTAGCTCAACAACTTCGAGGGCCACAGGTTCCCCATGCCTGCTTTAGGCACAGTCTAATGCTCCCGTCGCTCAGTCCCTGCTCCTGCCAACCTAGCAGTTCGAAAGCACGTCAAAGTGCAAGTAGATAAATAGGTACCACTCCAGCGGGAAGGTAAACGGCGTTTCCGTGCGCTGCTCTGGTTCGCCAGAAGCGGCTTAGTCATGCTGGCCACATGACCCGGAAGCTCCGCTCCCTCGGCCAATAAAGCGAGATGAGCGCCGCAACCCCAGAGTCGGTCACGACTGGACCTAATGGTCAGGGGTCCCTTTACCTCTACCTTAATGCAAATAAGCAGGGGCCCTGGGGCAGGGTCTGACACCCCAAGAAAAACTCTTTTAGGGAAAGAAACAAAAGTAGCGCTTTCTGTTCAGTACCATCTTTCCTGCGCAAACATTTAGGGAGTGATGCTGCCATGGACACCAGGATAGTGCCCCACCTAACAGGCAAATTCATTCAGTAACAACTTATAGGCCTCCAGCCCCACAGCAAGCATCAGTGTTTAGAAGCAAGCAATATTTCACCCTTTGCTACCTTTACAACCTTTGCACAAACCCAATGGAAGAGTTGCATTTGAGACTAGAAAGCTCTTCTCCAATATTTCAGCATATTACTTGAAAAAGTGCAGGCATGGAGGCAATCCTGGAACAGGCCCATAACCGCCAGGACAGCAGAGGGGTTGCCACAGCCTGTTCACTTCCTTTTATCTGAGCATTCGGTGCAGAAATAGCCCACCAGGGGCTTAAACAGACACTTGCAGCAAACGGGGGTTTCGTTTACCCTTCCCTGCCTCACTTCCACGCCCAGAGAAAGCACCAGAAAAAGTTCTATCCGCCTCCCAGTGTTACACCATCAGCCACATTCAGAGAACACGTGGGCAGGGCAAGGAAAATCATTCCCTTTGCAGTATGTACTGGGAACACAGCTATCAAGGCAAGGTGCAAAGCAAATTTTTGGTTTGCTATGGAAACCTAGGGCCTTATAAAGGCGGGGGGGGAGTTCTGTCTAACTCTAAAGCTTGCTTCTAGGTTGTTAAACTTTAGAAATGGCCGAGCAATAAGTCAGAGCCGTAGCTACGCGGGGAGCGGGGGCTAGCCGGGTTTTTTGCCCCGGGTGACGCCTCCGGGGGGGGGGCACCAGCCTGTGTGCGTTCGCAAATGCACGGGTTTTCTTTTGCCAGTCTGGGCCTTTAACCCGGGTGAAATAAAGCCTAGTTTCGCCCCTGCAACAAGGCAATGCGTTTTCTCCCACGCTTTATAGCCAGCAGAACCAGCCGCAGGATCCAACAGGGCTCCTGCGAACTACCTAGGAGGCAGGATTGTTGCAGAACCGGTCTGTGCGCGCCTCTTCCCACACAAACGCCCAGCAGCAGGAGCAGCAAACGGAGAAACCTGCGCGCTGACGGGTTTCGTCCGCTGCCTCCGAGGCGTCTCACCCGCAGACACGCAGCCCCAGAGGAACGTGGGGAAGAGTTGATTGCGCGCGACTAAAGGCTGGCCGCGCCTGGGAATGGGGATTCAGGGAGCTGGAGCCAGGGCGGCGCGCGCCTCTTGCTTCCCGCCCCCGCGACATGTCAGAGGGGCAAGAGGGGGCAAAGGCACACCGAGAAGAGCCTGCCCGGGGGGTGGGGGGGCGGGGAAGCAGCGAGAGCCCGCGCCGGAGCCCCTCTCTCCCGGGAGGCCTCTGCGCGCCCCCGCCCCGCTCCCGCGCGCTGCCCCCGGGGCCAAGGCCGGGCGGCGCCCCACTTACCAGGCCCTCCAGCAGAGCCCAGCTGCGGCCGAAGTCGGAACTAGAAGGCTGGCAGGCCCCGCCTCTCCCGGCGCTGGGCGCGGCATCCCAGGCTCTCGTCGGCCGGGAGGAAGAGGGCGGCCCAGCCGGGCGGAAGACGCCTCGCCATCGCCGCGCGCAGTGCATCATGCCCGCCCTTGCTGCCGCGTCTTTATTCTTAGTTTCTTATTTGGTTTGGTTTCTTCTTATGCAAAGGGAGCGCGAGCCCCGGCAAAGGAAGCAAGCGGGCGCCGTAAAAGAGCAGAAAAGTTGTTTTCTTGGGACTCTCTCGAAAGTGCTGGAGTTGCGCACATGCGCGCCTCCAAGGGACCTCCATTTTAGGTTGGGTGCTTGCAATGTGGGGCCGCCCCATTGAGCCGATGAGTCGGCTTTGCGGCTATAAAAAAATATGAAGATGCGTATATATAGTGGGCACACGCTCCGCAGAAAAATGGGAAGGGGGGATTCTTGCAACAGAAAAATACAGATCGGCCTTGCTTTCCTCGACTGGTTCCTGCCTCCACTCATTCTTCTCTGACCGATAACGAGCAGCGGATCCTGGGTCCCTTGGTGGGAAATTGGGACTTTAAAAGTCAACCCCAAATTTTATTATAATATTACTTAACTTGCTACTTTTGCATGACAAGCTGCGCCCAAAAAGCAGCCCACAGCAAACGTTGCAAAGCCTTGGAAAGGCAAACGTGCAAGATGCAGAGTATGCCAGTAAATTTTTTTAAAGCAATTTAGCAGACGCAGAATAAATTGAGTATTACCCCCCCACACACACACACACACACATACAAACAACCCACCCAACACCAATCTAGGCTTAAGTACATAAATACAAAGCAAAAAGGAAAGTTAACCCACAATAAAGTTTGTGGTACTGGTCTTGCTACACCCAAAGGCGCCTGGCTCAGTGGGGTTTGCTTCTGCACATCTTGCATAGGAGTGAACTGCAAGACCACAGGGTGATGGCGTTCTCTGGACAGTGAGCTTGCAGTGGGCACTGTAGTTCAGTGTTTCCCAACCGGTGTTCCGCGGCACACTAGTGTGCCACAAGACGTTGCCTGGTGTGCCGTGGGAGGGAGGCGGGCGAGTCGGGCGGCGAGAGGCGGGGCGGCGGCGGCGAGGATCCGCGTCGAGCCGGGGGCGGCTCCGCGGTGGTGGTGCCAAGGTTTCTCTCTCCATTCTCCCCTCACACACACACACACAGGAAATAACACAGGATCAGCTGACAGGACCCGGCCAATGGGGCGGCGGCGGGGCAGCGCGCGCAAAAGGGAGGAGCGTGAGACAGCGGACGAGGAGGAGGCCGGCATGTCCGGGCAGCAGCAGCAACAACAGCAGCAGCAACTCCCGGTGACGGCTCCTCAAGCCCCGGGCAACCCTACTCCCTCACCGGCCTCGGCCGCCCTCCTGCTCCACCCGCCGCCGCCTCCCCCGCCACCGCCGGCCACCTCGGCCCCGCCGCCGCCCCCTCCTCCGCCCGCTATCGCCGCCACCACCACAACAGCCGCCGCCTCAGCTGGGCCCATGCCTGCCGGGAGCGGCGGCGGCAGCAGCAGCAGCAGCGCCCCGGCGCCCTTCCCTCCCGGCGTGACGCTGCGCGCTGACGTCACGGGGCTGTAATGGTGGTGTGCCTCAAGATTTTTACCATCAAACAAGTGTGCCTTTGCCCAAAAAAGGTTGGGAAACACTGCTGTAGTTGACCCCTCACAGAGTTACAAGCCACAGCAACCCCAAGGTACCGATGCCCTCAAGTATTTTCAGGGGCAAGAATGTGCTTCAAAATAGGCTTTAAAGGAATAGCATGTATAAGGGGAAAGCTGGCTATAGGATAGCCAGATCTGCCTTATACCTGGACAGATTGTCAGCCTATCTTCCCCAGTATATTCTATTATTAACAGCTAGCATCCCTCACAAAGGGGTCTTCCCCATCATACGCAACTTGAGATCCTAACAAATAAAGAAGACTTAACTGAATCTGGGACTTTGCACATGCAAAGCAAGTGCGCTTTCACTGGGCAGTGGAGTGTACACTTTTCACCTGGCCTTTGTCATGTGACAAAGACGCATGAGAGCAGAAGCGGCCAAGCAGGCTGGGAAGTGCTGGGACTGCCCAGTCATTTTGGGCCTACTAAAGTTATTCAGGCCTAACTGCTAACTGTGGAGTCACTCTGACACTGACTTAGTAGCCACTTTCTCTTTTGTGCTCTCTAAGATGTCAGTGAGAGTCTGTCTGTTTCAGTTGTGAACAGAGTCAGTATGTAATCTCAGTCAAACTGTTTGGAACCATGTTGTTTATGAAGAAGTTTATTTTAATTCAGTAAAGCTTTTATTCTTTAAAACTCTGCATTATTAATTTAACGCTGCGCGTCAGCCTTGCTGGCTAGGCAAACACTGCAGTCTCCAGCCACCCCTTCCAAGGGAAATGCCACCCCTCGTTCCCTGCCAACCCCACTGCCTATTGTGGGGAGAGTGGACTGTTGAGCATGGCAGCTTGAAAGTAGCATAAGTGCCTTGAACCACCAGTATTCAAGACGCAGTGGAGACTGTTGTACCTTTAAGAAATATGATTTATTCACATATTTACACCTTCAGATTGCATGGAAGGAGTCCAGATGTTAACAGCATGGTCATGTCAAGCAAAGCTTGTTCCCCACAGCAGTGCAGCCATGGAGTGTAAGGCAGGGGTCGGCAAGGTTTCACCTGCCTGGGTCAGTCGAGTCCCGCGGAGATCTCTCCGTGGGCCTGATTGCGCACATGCGATTTTACCAGCATCTGAACATGCACATATGCGATTTCTGGCGTCTGGGCATACACAGACACGATTTTCCGCACCACACCGCACTGCTTAGTGCAGCGCACTGGGACTCACCAAGCGGGCGGCTTGGTTCAGGGGTGGCTCGTGGGCCGGTTAAACTGCCCCCGTGGGCCACAGGTTGCCGACCCCTGGTCTAAGGCATCTCTCTCAGCCAGCCTGCCCAAGATGGATCTCTCTCTCTCTCTCTCTCTCTCTCTCTCTCTTCTCTCCAGCACGCTTGCAAAAGACATTCTTTACCTTTCAACTCACACCCAGTTACTCTAGCAACTTTCTATCCAGGCCCAAGATTCCTCTTAAATGAGCCATCAACGCCTTTTTGTCATGTTAATGCCTCTATCCCATGTGAGGTTCTGGCTTGGAAAGAAAGCTTGACCTGTATTTTTCCTCTGGCCTGCAATCTTCCCTTCACTTCTCCAAATAAAATCCTACCATTTATTAATTTCTAGGGTTTAGGGTGGCAGACCCACAACAGTATTTTTCAGAAACAATTGAAGACTTTTTTTATTTCAACAACTTGGGTGCTAATTTTGTATTGTTTAAAACCTATATTTAGCTATTTAAAAATATGTGTTAGCTGTTTTATGGTATGTTTGTAAATCATTTTGACATGCATTTGGAAGGCAAAAATTTAATATCAGTGAATAAACAATACAGCTTCAAAGTAGCTTTAGGAATTGGTGGTGTGTGCATAGGGTCGCAGCCTCAGCTCCCTCCACAAACCTGGGGCTAATAAAATTGGACTACAGTATATTGTGGAGAAAACCACTTCCTTCGCCTCCCTCCCCACATCTGCAGTATGGGGATAATTGTGTCTACATTTGCAGCACATTTTTTTAAAAAGTAAAGATAAATTCACAGCAAAAAAATCGTTATGCTATATATTCCTATATTTATTTTAATTATATTTCCTTTTATTTTTGTAATATTGAATATATTCTGTGTTTTCCAAATTGCTGATTTTTGTCATTTTTGAATTTATTGCCATGTATTTTGCATATTTGTATTTCCAATGGTCTTTATTTTGATGTTTTTAAATGTTTGCTGTAAGGTGCTTTGGGTACAGCTCATGGTGGAAAAGTGACATGTAAGTAAATTAATCAAATCAATCAGTCCCAAAAACTACAAACTCCCATTTATTTTGCTTCCCTGTTTTTGACTGAGGAGTTTGTGAAGCTGCCAGATAACAGCTGTCCTAAATAGCTAGGTTTTTCTGCTTTCTCCTGACAGCTGTTTTCACTTCTGCCCCACTAAACTGGAGGGTGATTGAAAGGGGTGGAGGAATAGTGTCAAAAGTTAACTGAGAAAGACTAGTCTGCAAAATGGACAAGTCTGGTCTGAACCAGGGAGAAGGAAACAATACTATAAAATGAGAACTGTCTGGGGCACAACCATGAGCAAGTAAGGTGCCAGCCTCAGGTGGCAGAATCCACAGACAGATCTTCACTCACCCCTTCTTCCCTGGCAGGAGGTGGTACCATTTTGTGGTTTGCCTCAGGTGCCAAAATATATTGAGTTGGCCCTGTTCATCATCCTTGGGGCAGCTCCCCACATCCCGTATTGGGCTCTTGACCCCCATAGGGCAATGTTCAAAGTGGAACTGGAAGCAAGGTCCACAAAGTGGAATTCCTAATCTCAAACTCATTTGTATCTCTGTGGTTCCTGCTTTCATCAGAACCTCAGTGCCGAATTTATTTATTTTTATTTTTAAATTATGTGATAAAAAGTGGAAAGGTGGCATGGCGACCAGGAACAGATGGAGGGGATGCAGTTCTAGTCAGGTTTCTGTTTCTGGTACTTGAAAAAGAACAGGGCTTTTATTGGTACTCATCTCATTAAACTGAATTGGCTGCTACTGTTTAATTACCAAAAGGAATTTTCACCTCTGACCCACTGGCAGCTGTCAATTTAATTTCATACTTCTAGTTTAGATGGTGTGTTACTCTACATTTTCTTATCTCTGTAGGAACAAATAGAGCAACTGTCATGACACTACAGGAAACCTCGGTTGCCATGGCAATGCCAAAGGGTAGTGGCCTTAGTGATTTCCAGGCTAACGAGACTTCAGGTTCCCATTCGCAGGCAATAGGCTCTTCCGTGCAAAGATAGAGACGTGGAAATACAGTAGCCAACAGTCCAAACTCCACATCCCCGGGTTCTTTTTAATCTTCTGGCTCCTCCAGGCCAGCCAAACACTGCTGTGCTGGGCGGAAGGCATGTTTATGTCAAAGCACTGCAGTGAAAAGGAGATTCTAGTTCTGCCCTTTTTTTACTTTACTGTCTTTCCAAGAACCGGTTTCCAATTCTTGCCATGGGGAGGATTCCAATAGGAGCTGGAACTGGGTTCTGGCAGAGAAGCAGGGGCATGCACATGCTTGGTGCATTGCACTCAATTGAGCGTTGCCACAATACCTGCCCTTTTCTACCTCTGCCATATTAACAACCAGCCACTTTGCATATGTGCTCTTGAACACTTGCTGTGTGTGCAGCACCTTGGCTTAATCAGAACAAATACTAACCATAGTTACAGCAGAGTACCCAGTCATTGAGGACCTGGCTTCTGCAGCAGTGATGCCACTATACATGTAGTCAAACAGACTTTGCAAGCATCACGGCCAAAGGAGCAGACTGATCACCAAGGACATACCAGCTCTCCTCCAGTCACCATGGCTAGCTCAGTTTACCAGCAAGCCTGAAAGGAATGTTTTATTGGATCCTAATGTGGCTGTTATTGTGAAACTTGTCATGGGGTCCTTGCTCATAGTAGCATTCTTGCTTCCTAGCCTTTGGTTATATAAGGATGCGATGTAAGCATGACATCAACAAATAATTGCTTTCTGAAATATATACATGCCATGAAGTCAAGGAAACCCTTTGAGTTATTGTGAAATCCCAGGCAGTTGTTTTGTAAAGCATGCAAACTGGAAGATCTTGAGGCTTAATCACAAACCTTGGGATGGGTTTCATCCATGGGCATCCTGCATGCAGCTGGTGGGAAAACTTCAGGACTTTGCTGACATTGGGGTTTTGAGGACTTCAGCTCCTTCCTCTAAAAGAACTATGACCTTTAGCTCCTTCAGATTAAAAAGACATTTGAGGGGTAAATTAAAGAACCCGCAGTGATAACAATCAGGACAGAGTCTAATGTTTATCTCTATGGTGCCAGCTCTGAACTTTGTACACCTACTCACACTAGCAGTTTTTTAAGCTTTTGGATTGTCTATTTCTTATAGAAACTCTAACATACTGAGCAGAGTATAGTTTAAAGATAAAGGTAAAGGACCTCTGACAGTTAAGTCCGGTCGCAAACAACTCTGGGGTTGCGGCGCTCATCTCGTTTTACTGGTCAAGGGAGTTGACGTTTGTCTGCAGACAGTTTTTCCGGGTCATGTGGCCAGCATAGCTAAGCTGCTTCTGGCAAAACCGGAGCAGCGCACAGAAACGCTGATTGCCTTCCCGTCAGAGTGGTACCTATTTATCTACTTGCACTTTGACGTGCTTCTGAACTGCTAGGTTGGCAGGTGGTGGGACCGAGCAACAGGAGCTCACCCTGTCGCGGGGATTCGAACTGCCAGCCTTCCGATCAGCAAGCCCTAGGCTCAGTGGTTTAGACCACAGCGCCACCTCAGAGTATAGTTTAGGAACTCACAAAGACATAAAGTATTGGTGTGTTCAAACTTGAGTAGGGGTGGATTACTGAGCTAGCAAAATAATCTAATCCTCTCCTCATACATAAGCATACTCACCATGTCCATTATCTCTTGAGCTCACGAAACCATTGATGCTGCCAAAACATTCCCCCTCAATATGCACCCATAACTGTGCATCTTCTAGGGCATGAAAGGAAGTGAAATTCCATTTCGTTGGAAGCTGCTCCCTGCGCTTGAAATGGTACCCCAGTAACTGCCTAGAACAATCTGCCCAAACTGGTGCTTTCCATATATTTTAGACTACAACTCCAAAACACTGGAACTTGGTTGACCTATGACCACAGACGATGGGAGCTGGTGGTCTGGAGGGTTGCCACAGGTTGCCCATCCCTACTCTAGATGGTGTTGGACTACAAGTCTCATTATCTCTTACCATTGGCCATGCTGGCTGGGGCGGATGGAAATTAAAAGTCCAACAACATCTGGAACCCACAACAGAAAGACTTTTTGATATGATCTAACAACGCTACGCAATGCAATTTCCATTCTCCCACACGCCATGATTGCTGTGCTCCGCCTCAGTGCTGGAGGCGCAATGCTTCTGAGTACCACTTGCTGAAACCTGGAGGAGAGGTTAGTGCTCTTGCGCTCGGATCCCGCTTGTGGGTAGGCATCTGGTTGGCCAGTGAGAACAAGATGCCAGGCTAGATGGGCCATTGGTCCTGAACCAGGAGGGCTCGTGTCTCTTTCATACACACACCCCACATCCAACAGGACACAGAATTTGCTTTAAAATATATTCTATATGTTATTGGTTTTTCAAAATAACAAAACCGACATCCAACAGCACCCCCTTCTCACCCTACCCTCCAAACAGATTCCTGATGGCAGAAATATTTTCTTAACCTCGTGTGTTACATCAGGTTTTATTGTCAAACCTTTAAAGTCATCTACATTCATGTACTTATTATTAATTAAGCACGCAGTAACTGTGTTCTCTCGGGGAGTTGCAAGCAGTAAACATGCTCCTCCTCGGCGTCTTCTAATTAGAAAATAAATCATCCGTTGTTTTTTTAGAAGCCACAGCTCCATTGCTTGCAATGATGGATGCGGCAGATCAACCAACCCCAAAATAATGGGTTAAAAAAACCAAAAACGTCTGGATTTAAGACGAACGCCTGGACACATCCTGTATTTACTATCTGGGTGGGTGCGATTGGTGCAGTGGACTCTAGCGGGGTCTAAAACCTCCGAATTAGAGCGATTTAAAGGAAGAGCAAAAGCGAGCGAGCGAGCGAGCTAAACACGCGCGCGAGTCTTCCAGGCGCCCCCTAGCGGCTGCCTCGAGGAGCGCCCGGTCTGTCGCCGTCCTCTCTATGGTGCCCCGAGGCTTTCTCTATGGTTCTAAGGGATGGCCATGGCTCAGTCCCCTCCCACCTAGTCAGGCTGAGGGCTGGGCATTGTGGGGTGAGAGCGGACTCTGGCTGAAGAGCCAGCCCTGCCACAGCCAGGCAGAGAGCAGAGCACCCGAGCTGGAGGAGGAGGAGAAGGAGTGGTGGGGGGGCAGAGAGGAAGCCAGGACCAAGGGGCAGTGCCCCCCACCCCACCCTAAGGGACACCATGCCAGTTGCCACAGCCAAAGTGGCAGCCAGGTTGGCCCAGGGGGTCACGGCGAAAAGAGCGGCGGTGGCACTGCTGGTGGCGGCGTATGGAGCCAAGAAGTTGTACCCAGTCCTGCGGCGACAGTGGGCTTCCTCTGACCTCCAAGTGAATGCCAACTCAGCAGGGCACCACAGTGCTGAAGAGCCAGCCTCCAAGTGGGGGGCAGCTGATGAGGTGGCAGCATCTCCACCCGGGGTGAACAGGGTGTTTTTCTTCCGCCTGCTGCGCCTGCTGAGGTTGCTGTTCCCTGGGCCACTGTGCCGTGAAACGGGGCTCCTGGCCTTGCACTCGGCCGCCCTAGCCAGCCGCACCTTCCTCTCGGTCTACGTGGCCCAGCTGGACGGGCGCCTGGCCCGCTGCATCGTCCGCAAGAACCCGCATGACTTTACGTGGCAGCTTCTTCAGTGGCTGCTCATAGCCCTGCCTGCCACATTTGTCAACAGTGCCATTCGATACCTAGAAGGGCAGCTGAGCTTGGCCTTCCGCGGACGTTTAGCGGACCATGCCTATCGGCTCTACTTTGAGGGCCAGACCTACTACCGCGTCAGCAACATGGACGGACGCCTGCGCAACCCGGACCAGTCTCTCACGGAAGATCTGGTGGCCTTCGCCAACTCCGTGGCTCACCTCTACTCGAACCTGACCAAGCCGGTGCTGGATGTGATTGTCACTTCCTATACCCTGCTCAGCTCGGCCAGATCGAAAGGAGCCGACACAGCCTGGCCCTCGGTCATTGCCGGCCTGGTGGTCTGCATCACTGCCAAGGTGCTGCGTGCCTGTTCGCCAAAGTTTGGCCAGCTGGTGGCTGAAGAGGCACGTCGGAAAGGGGAGCTGCGCTACATGCATTCCCGGGTGGTCGCCAACTCGGAAGAGATTGCTTTCTATGGGGGCCATAAGGTAAAGCAAGTGGGCAACGTGCCATGGTTCTCTGGGAGGAAAGCAGGGATCAGCTGATAGGAGGATTACTGGAAGCCAGGACTCCTGGGTTTCCGGGCAGGGAATTATAGTGTAGTAGAACTGGAGAAACAGAGAAGGTTATTTTACCCCCAGCCTCTTTTGTTATATGTCTTTCCACTTTCTCTTCTTCCCCTGAGCTCCGAAACGGAGGCAGCTGACCCTGCCAGGCCCTGGGCCGGTGGAAGTGAAGTTGGCTTTATAGAGAGACAAGCTAGAGCTGAAACCAGCACCCTTGTTTACTTCCTTTTCTTTGTAGTCTTCTTCCTTGAATTTGTCCGAGGGCAAGGCTGAGGCCCTGACCTGAATTTATCCAGCTTCAAATCTGTCTATGTTCAGTAATCCTCCACCAGTCTAAATTTCCATAGAAACCTTTCTTGGTTTCTATTGCTCATGCTTGACTTCTGCCTCAACCGTCAAAACAGCCCCAGGCGTTTCCAAGTGTGGCACTTAAGGATTCCTGCACTGCCTAGCGGAGGCGATTGGACGGCAGTTGCAGTGTGTTTATCAGACACCATTTCTGATCCCCAGATTTGGAAAAGCAATGGATCAGATAACATATAACAGTAACAGATGAGAGCTGGGAATCAGGGGATCTGGGCTCTTCCTGTTTTCTGAATCATTGGGGGGGCGGGGGGGAATGCTCTTATACTGAGGGCAATGGTGACTGAAGTTAATCATCATTTTTATCACATGTACACTGCAGTCGCCCCTCTCCATTCCAGCCCAGCTGTGTCAGGAACATTCCAAGGCCGAAAACTCTCCTACCTTTGGCATCCTGCCCAAATTAAGGGTAATTGTAGGTCACATTCGCACACAGAAATACAGCAATGGGACCAGCCTTTGTGCTTAAACATTTATTAGAACCATGCAGATTTGTGCACACATGCACACACCTCAGACAAAAAGTCTATAGCAGCAGTTGCCCTTTAGAAAAAAGGAGTATGACCAGTATTAGTCATGATGACATTTGAATTGAGTCACCACTTGTGATGTTTAAGACAATTATCTCTGAATGTTCAGGGTTTTCTTAGGGCTATTGGATGCATTTGTGCTGTGCCTCCAGCTGCCCCCTCCTCCACTAGTCTACCTACCTGTGGCTCTTCAGCATAAGATGGCCTCCCACCAGTCTTGCACAGCAGATTGGAAGGGTGGAGGACACAGCATAGGACAAAAATACTACTCCCCATATGAAAGCCATTGTCAGAATAGCAGGACTGTGACTCAAAAACAGTAGCCACCCCATCCCCATCTCTTTGAGACAAGATCTGCTAGTTGTCACCTCAATGGCCTTAGTAAGTGGAGAACAGGAAATGCTGACCTTCCTGCCTTGGTACTCATTAACTTTGCCCTCCCTATTAAAGTTGTGGGATTGGTGCAGGATTATCTCATACCCCTGTGCACCTCCTGTATTTTTTCAGGGTGTTATTTATTATTATTACCATTATTTATTAAATTTGTATATTGCCCTTCATCTGCAGATCTAAGGGCAGTTCACAACATAGAATTACAATATAAAAAACAAAAAATACATAGTAAAAATAAGAACAAGAAAAAGCCAATAATCCCCCCTCCCACAACACTTTTGAAAGAGCATCGGATGTCAATCAGCGAAAGGCCTGGTTGAAGGGGAATGTTTTCGCCTGGCACCTGAAGGTGTATAATGGAGGTGCCAGGCAAACCTTCCTGGGGAGAGCATTCCATAATTTGGGAGTCACAGGTAGATTTGGTTTGGTGCAATCCAGGCTCCCTGTCCCAGTGCGGCTGAACTAGCACTTTTGTAGTCAGATTTAACACCAGGCGAATTGCTGTTGTGAGGCTAACAGGGCTTGTACCGCAGAGATGAAGGGACAGAGCAATTTCCCAATTTCAACTGCAGAGAACTAAGGAGAAGACTAGGTATTAGCACCACAGCCTGACCTTCCAGTAGGTAATTAAAAGCTGCCATTGGCCAGTGGTGTAGCCTGGGTTGCTGGCGCCTGGGGCAGGCAAGCCACCAATGCCACTGGAACCAAGCGGGGCTGTGCTGTGCCACCTGCCTGCCTGCACAGGAGGGAGCCCAGCTGGCTTACATGACCCTTGGTGGGCAAATCCCCTCGATGCCTGCAGAGAGGAGCACTGAGTCGGGCTGCCCTGGGGTCACCCACCCTCCATCCGCATTCACTCACTGTGGACCTGGGCGGCTCTTGCTGCCGTCCAAGGAGCGTGGCACACTGAGCAAGGAATGAGCAAGCACTGGCCAGGCAGCCATTCAGTGAGGCCTTGGCATGGCATGGCCTGGAGAATGAAGGGTGGCATGGCCTCAGGAATGTGAGGAAGGTAGACTTCAGTTGCCAGCCTCTGCCAGGGACATGGCGGCAAGGCCAGGTTGGGCTCCAGGGTCCAGAAACCCCGGGTGGCAGGCAGGCAGGCAGGCAAGGACAGGGAGCCTGGGACAGGGCCTTCCAGGATGTGCCTGGGTGGCAGTGGCGCAACCCCCTGGCAGGCTGCTTTGCTGCCTTTGCCAGGATAGGGATCCCTGCAGAAGCTGGTGGCTGTATGGAGGCCACCCCCTCAGAATTTTGTGCCCGGAACCATAGCCCCCCTGGCTCCCCACTGCCACTGGCCATTACTCTATGAATGCAAATACTGTGTTGTATTGCTGCATCCCTGCATCTATGAGATGAAAACCCTGACAAACCATTTAGCACCAGTGAAGTGCTAGTAAAGGCTGGTTTTGGAACTGGGACTCCTTATTCAAAATGTGGCTTTTCAGTTTGTAACCCAAAGTTCAGGGTGTGTGTTGCTATAGTACTTTTCCTATTTCTGTAGTCACACAGATAGTGGAAGCCACACTTACTGGGAAGCAAGTCCCATTGCAACCACTGGAGCTTACTTCTGAGTAAATATGCATAGGATTGTGCTATTAGAACAACTGAATTTTAGAAATCTTCCCCCTACTTTTTATCCTTGGGATTACTTTACACCTCTTTTCTCCTCCCTTTCAGAAAGGGAGGGACAATCTTAGGGCCAGTTCACATATTCAGGTACATCACTTGTGTACTTTTCACTTGACAATTACCAGTGACCCAACTCCACTGCTGCTGTGTCTTTAACAGCACATTGATTGGGCAAATATATGTAGATGAGGCTTCTCTTGTAATGGGGGTGGAGACTGCTGCCGTAGCTGCTGTTAAGGACAGGGCTGGTTAAAATCTTAGAGTTAAACTCTCTAAGAGTTCTGTCTATGACAGCAGAGAATTGCAATGGCTCATTCACATATGTCAGTTGTCCCTTAATTCTGTAGTCCTGAAAAAAGACACACATGTAATGAACCAAACGGTCGTTCTGCCTCTTTCTTGTGGAAATTGCTCAAGTGCCTTTTAAGAGCTGGCTGGTGGTCAGTAAAGAAGGAAACTTTTCCTGACATGGAGATAAAGGAATGAGCAAAGCATCACCTGCCTTATTTATGCAGGTCAGTCTGCTGCTAAAAGCACTGAACCTGGTGGGGGTGGCTGCTTTTGAACCATTGAACCTTTTCATCACATGCGCACAGATGAAGCAGATTCTCTAACAAAGAGGTAATGCTACCTCTGGCCTCCAGGGAGTAGACAAGAGAAGTTTGTAGCATTTGAAACTTTTTAGTTTCTAGCAGTTCGAAAGCACGTCAAAGCGCAAGTAGATCGATAGGTACCACTCCTGCAGGAAGGTAAACGGCGTTTCCGAGCGCTGCTCTGGTTCGCCAGAAGTGGCTTTGTCATGCTGGCCACATGACCCAGAAGCTGTCTGTGGAGAAACCCCGGCTCCCTCGGCCTATAGAGCGAGATGAGCGCCGCAACCCCAGAGTCATCTGCGACTGGACCTAATGGTCAGGGGTCCCTTTACCTTTACCACCTGACTAAGAGGTGGTTAAAAAGGTAAAGGGACCCCTGACCATTAGGTCCAGTCATGACCTACTCTGGGGTTGCGGTGCTCATCTCGCTTTATTGGCCGAGGGAGCTGGCGTACAGCTTCCGGGTCATGTGGCCAGCATGACTAAGCCGCTTTGGTGAACCAGAGCAGTGCACGGAAACGCCGTTTACCTTCCTGCCAGAGCGGTACCTATTTATGTACTTGCACTTTGACGTGCTTTCGAACTGCTAGGTTGGCAGGAGCAGGGACCGAGCAATGGGAGCTCACCCCGTCGCGGGGATTCGAACCACCGACCTTCTGATCGGCAAGTCCTAGGCTCTGTGGTTTAACCCACAGCGCCATCCACGTCCCTTTTTAAGAGGTGGTATGATAGAAGTTTATAAAATTATGTATATCATGAGAAAAGTGGAGCTGTTGTGAACCTCCGTCTGTCTTGAGACAATAGAGTGTGCCTCTGGGGGTGAAATCAAACCAGTATGTTAGCACCACCAAAGTGACCTCCCTGGGCCGGCACAAGCCTGGGCAGTATGTCTGGGGGTCCTGGGCTGCCTAGATGACAAGAGGTCATGGACATCCAATGAAGCTGAATGTCAGAAGATTCAGAACAGATAAAAGAAATTACTCATTCACAGAGCTCTTAGTCAAACTGTAGTACCTGCTCCCGCAGGAAGCAGAGCTGGCCACCAGCGTAGATGGCTTTCAAAGAGGATTAAACAAATTCATGGAGGGGAGGGCTATCCATGGCTACTAGCAATCAGGCTCTGCTGTGCCTTCACAACGGGAGGCAGTACTGCTTCTGAATACCAGTTGCTGGGAATTTCAGGTTCTGTTGTGCTCATGTCCAGCCTGCAGGCATCTGGTTGGCTACTGTGAGGATGCGGGACTTGGCCTGATCCAGCAGGATTCTTCTTTGGTTCTTAATTAAACTCCAAACATTGGAAGTAAAGCAGCAGTGCTTCTGAAATTAGAGCCACATGGAAATGCCCTCCATCTCAGCAGCTGCATTAAGGCAAAGTCTAAGGGCGTGGGATTTCAGCTGCCTGACTGAAGCTAAGCAGGTCTGAATCTGGTCGCAGTCTGGATGGGAGACCTGGGAACCTCATAGGGGATACACCTGTATATAAATGATAAATAATAAACATCTCATCACCCTGCCGAATGCCATAATGTCTCCTGGCCTCCCCTTCAGGTGGAGTTGTCCCTTTTGCGGCGCTCTTATCGTGAGCTGGCCTCCCAGATCAATGTGCTGCTCCTGGAAAGGCTCTGGTATGTCATGCTGGAGCAGTTCCTCATGAAGTACGTGTGGAGCGCCGCCGGGCTGGTCATGGTAGCTGTGCCAATCATCACCGCCACTGGCTACTCTGAGACAGGTGAGTGGAGGCAGTTTTTGTAATTAGGTTGTAAACAAGGTTTACAAATTACAAAATTAGGTTTTGTAAACAGGGTGACGGGAGCATGTTGGGCGTCACTTATTGATATAGTAATAAAGTAAATAATTGTTTGTTGGCAGGGGATACTTAAGAATGCTTTCAAGATGCCGCATGAAGTGCCCGATACCAGCTTGCTTAAGAGGCTTAGGGAGGGCATCAGACTAGCCATTGCTGCAGATTCTCCTTGGGCCTCTGCTTGCCAGTTTTGCCACAGTGAAGTACATATAACCACAGAATTGCAGAGGGGGGAGAAAACAGGATAGATGTGACATGGCAGCCCCTGTCTCAGCCACATCTTTCCAGTCCCGCCCCCCTTACAGGAACAGATTGTCTGAGCAGTGAAGATGTGGAAGTGGCTGTAATCTTTGGGTTGAATTACACATTTGGCAGAGTCTGGGGTCAGGACATTCAAAACAGCTTCAAAGTGACAGGAAGACTGTGTGATTTAGAGAAGAAGCTTCGGGTAGTGGAAGAAAATTTAAGCTGTTTTCCTGAATAACACAGTAAATGAATGTGCAGAATCTTAGATTGAACTGGGGTAAGAGATGATAACAAGGTGATTGAAGGTTGAAAGTAGCAGGTAAGGAAAGGGTTAAGCATACACCCTGCACATCCGCTGCTTCTTAGTTTGGAGCTGCACCCTTTGCTTGCTGTTTTGCACCTCTTCAGAAGATACTTGCGTTCCTAGTCCTTGGTCTTTGCTTTTAAAGGCCCACAACCATTCTTCACTCTCCCTGAGGTCAGTTATTTTTGTGTGTACAGAACTGGAAACCTTCACTGCACATGAAAATGGCTAGCTATGGCATTGAACACAGATGTTGGTTTTGAAAAACAGCTGCAGCTGGCGAGATGTGAAGAGGAGACCCTGTTTTCCCTCCTTAGTTTTATAGGCAACAGGTGTCCTTGTGTTAATTGCAAGAGCTCCACTTATGGTGGAAGTGAGAGGAGTGGTAGCAGATTATACAGACAGCTCACAGTGAAACTTTACATGGGATGGAGTATTTAGAATGTTTAGAAGATTTTAGAATGTTGTATTATTTTATTGTTGTTAGCTGCCCTGAGCCCAGCTTCGGCTGGGGAGGGCGGGATATAAATAAAAAAAATTATTATTATTATTATTATTATTATTATTATTATTAATTCACCCTGTGTGTGTGATCCTGATTTCGTCAATGATAACTTGCTGGGCAGGTCGGCAGCTCACCTGTTCCATATATCTTCTTGAGTAATGATACCTAGAATGACATGAAGGGTGTTGTCAAACTGATAATCTTATAATGTCTAGGTCTAAGCCTAGGCTGGAGCCCTGCTGCCTTATGCAACAATTTTCTTTCTGGAAGGCATTTTTCTCTCTTGTTGCTCAAAGTTCTGGTGAAATGACCCATCAGAATCAGCAGTAGGTGATCAGGTTCCTCTTCCTGAGTTTAAATCTAATTATACAGATATTTGATGATTAAATGTAAAGGTATTACAGAAACCGAAAGGCCGACCACCCCAGGAAGATTGGTTGCCTTCTTTGTTGTTTTCGCTGTGGGTGTCTGAGCTGTCCCTGCCCTCGCCAACGCCTCCTCCTCCGCCTTGAAGTCTGAAGAGGATCTTTGTTAGCTTAGTCTCTGGGACCTGCCCAGTTAGAATAGGAACTGAAGGTCCAGTGATCCAGTACAGGCTGTTCAGGGATTTCCTAATCTGGTTGCAGCTGTAGCATCTGCTACCAAGGGCCCCTCTGCTACCTAGATATTGTCTTAGCTGCTTTCTCCCATGTTAGCCAAGAGACAGGCCAATGGCTACTTAAGCTACTCCTTCCTCCAGCACCCACATCTACAACACGGAAGGCTCTGTCACCATATGCTCCTGACATTAGGCCCTGTTTGCAGCACCACTGCCCTGCAAAACTCAAGGGGTGGCAGAACAAGAGAGGTGTTGCAACATCCTCCCCTCCGACATGTGTCTGGCCCCAACATTGCTTACCCTCCAGCAGACACACCTGTTTGCAGGCCTTTGGAGGTGGAGGTTAAAGATGGAATAACCGTTTTCCCCATGCTGTTTTGCTGCGGCTGTTTTGCCATTGTTAAGTTAATGCTATGGTTTTCAAGTATGGTTTTAACTGGAGTTTTAGCTTAATGTGCTGCTCTAATTTGTTTTATTGATTTTGGAATGCACCTTGCCCTGGGACATATGGTGAAGGGCAGGTAATAAGTATTCCAAATAAATAAATCTGGCAAACAAAGGAAATATTTAAGGGAAGAACTCTGTTAGAACATCTTTGCTAACCACAAGGGTGCAAGAGAGAATTAAAGAGCCTTTTCCTGTGCCTAGAAGCAAATGCCTCAAATGCCTACGGGAGAGGTTTCACCAAGGCCAGGGATGCTGGGAGGAGGGAGTTTCAGAGTCCCCTGCTTATGTTTTCGTTCGTGCAGGAAGTAATCTGTAGGCAAGTGTTCCTGGCCAGAGGGAAAGGATTCCAGGTGAGAGCATGTGATTTCCAGGCAAACTCGGGTCCTAAAAACAGCTGTGGAGCTAGAAAATGGAGGGTAGAGATGTTGTCCTTGGAGTTTCTGCTGACCATGTCGGTTTCCCCTCCTATGCCAGACCCTGAGGCAGTGAAGCAAGCTGCGCTGGACATGGAGGAGAATGAGCTGGTGAGCCTGAGAACCGAAGCCTTCACCACAGCACGGAGTCTACTGAATGCAGCAGCTGATGCCACAGAGAGAGTCATCTCTTCTTACAAAGAGGTATGGATGCAGCTTGGCTGCTTGGGTTGACCCAGAAGGAATTGGCTTGGTTTGATTACCAATTGAAGGAAGGGAATAAGCCGCGTTGTTTCTGTTTTCCTCTGAGGGGAAATCCTAAAATTTCACATCTCTGCAAGGCACAGCCCACACCCAGAAGGTTGGAAGACCTGGGAGCACAATGTCCTGGCATCAGTTCCCAGTTGCACATCAGCGTCCTAGATTCTGCCTTACACGATCATGTTTTCCAACACCCACATGCATGATCTTTGACCCAGTGCAGTGCTCTAATACTTCATGGGATTGGTTTCGATCTGTAACAGACCAAATGGTTCAAAGCAAACATCTAATTTTGCCCTCCTATGTACACACTCTTGGGAATAATTCCCTTTGAACTTGGTGAGACTTATGCATAGGATCTGTCTAGAACATTGGTCGGCAAACTAAGGGCCGCAGGCTAGATCAGGCCCAATTGCCCTCTGGATCCGGCCTGCGGACAATCCTGGAATCACCACTTGGATCGGTGTGATCGTTTGGACTGCGCCTTTTTTTGCAAATTTTTTTGGGCGCCATTTCCGCCCCCCCCCCCAAATACACAATGGCGACGCCTCCTCCTGGCTTCTCCCCGCCCTGCGGAGGACGGGAGCTGTGCTTTGATTGATGCCAGCCATCCAAAGCCTCGCCACCCACCTCTCCGTCCATGGCCGCGCTGTGGGCATCATGACGGGTGCGTCACGGGGCTTTGGCTGAAGCTTGGCGTGCCTGCTGGCCCTGCCACCTGGCACCCGGGAAAGCTGGCCCGGAAAGGAGAGGCAGCGCCAGTGGTGGCTCCCAACCGCAGGCAGAGCGGCGGAGGAGGTAGGAAAGCAAGAGGAGGGGAGGGGCTGGGGGAGAGGGGGGGAGAGAGAATACCCCCTCCGTCGCGTGTGTGTGTGCATGCGTGTGCGCAGTCCGGCCCACCACAAGGTCTGAGGGGCAGTGAACTGGCCCCCTCCTAAAAAAGTTTGCTGACCCCTGGTCTAGAATAGGAATGAGCATAAAGTGGATCTGGAACTAGTGCGGTATTTCTGCAGGGATTTGTGACTCCCAATTGTTTAATAATTGCAGCAACAAAATGACGTATCTTGCTTCCCAACCAGACTTCTAAAATGAAGAAAGCTGGAGTAACGAGGAGTAGATTTTTTACATGGAAGAACTGTGAACTCAGTTCAGTTCTGATAACTCAACACAATTCCCTGGGTTCAGTAGCTGCTCAAAGGCACCATGTTCTTTAATTCTTAGCACATGTATTCCAAACCAGGCTCCAATTGGTGGAGCTTGAGGGTTCTAGGGAAATGCAAAGTCTATTCCACAAATCTGCCCTTTCCTGGACCAGAACATACTGTATTTCCTTTATTTCATCACACACTCTAAGGGAATCTCCACAGGACTGATCTTTAAACCTGATTTAAACTCTGGTTCTTTACACAATATACCTTTAAAGAACATTAGGAACTTATTCTCCTCCCAAAAATCCTGGGCACTGTAGTTTATCCCTCACAGAGTTACATTTCCCAGCAACCCTTAACAGACTAGAGTGCCCAGAATTTTTTGAGAGAAAGAATGTGCTTTAAAGGTATAGTGTATGCATAAGCTTTGATTGAAACGGGCCAATGAAACTCCAGGTTAGACATCTGGGACCCTCAGTTAAAGAGATTTGAAACTTATTTAAATGTGTTTCGACTCGCACACACACGCACACACACACACACCGCCCTGCCATCTAATGGCATCCTCCTAACAATGCCAGCTATGTGCCCCAGGTAGAGAGAAACTGCCAGTGGTTACTCACATGAACTTCCTAGGGAATTCTGCCTTTGGAAACGTTTTCTTCTGGGAAGCTTGCTGAAGCAACTTCCTGCAACCTTGGGAAAGGACCTTGGCTCAGTGGTCAAACATATGCTTTGCATGCAGAAGGTTCCTGGTTCAGTCCCTGGCATTGCCAGTTAAAAGGATCAGATGTTGGGAAAGGCTGAGATTTAAGACTCTTGCAGAGCTGCAGCCACTCAGAACAATAATGGGCTACATATATGAGACCAAGAGTCTGACCTGGTATGTGGCAGCTCTCTATATCCATTAGTGGGATGCAGTTCTGTGTGTGCTTGGGAGAAAGGAGCATTGGTCTATATGGGAATTCTGAGTAATTAGGCATAATAAAACTTGACAGACTGAGCTGGTTTCAGGAGTCTGGAGCGAAGCCAGAAGGTCTGTAATATTAGTGATAGTTGTGGGGTTGTTGTTTTTACCTATATGCTTGGAGTGATTTCCCAATGCTGGATACTCTGGGTAACACACATTGACATCAATGGGTTTACTCTATGAGTTAATGGATATCAGTGGACTTAATGGGATCTACTCTCAGTGAGACTGTTGCTGTTTAGTCGTTTAGTCGTGTCCAAATCTTCGTGGCCCCGTGGACCAGAACACGTCAGGCACTCCTGTCTTCCACTGCCTCCCGCAGTTTGGTCAAACTCATGCTGGTAGCTTCGAGAACACTGTCCCACCACCTCATCCTCTGTCGTCCCCTTCTCCTTGTGCCCTCCATCTTTCCCAACCTCAGGGTCTTTTCCAGGGAGTCTTCTCTTCTCATGAGGTGGCCAAAGTATTGGAGCCTCAGCTTCAGGATCTGTCCTTCCAGTGAGCACTCAGGGCTGATTTCCTTAAGAATGGAGAGGTTTGATCTTCTTGCAGTCCATGGGATTTTCAAGAGTCTCCTCCAACACCATAATTCAAAAGCATCAATTCTTCAGTGATCAGCCTTCTATATGGTCCAGCTCTCACTTCCATACATCACTACTGGGAAAACCATAGCTTTAACTACACTGACCTTTGTTGGCAAGGTGATGCCAACGTTAGTCTCAGTGAGACTAAGGTTGGCTATTACCAAGAACATTCCAACTCCATCCCTAAAAGCTTTGTGTTTCCCTTCTGGGCTGAGGAATGTTACTTGCTGCTTCCTAATTCAGGTGACTGAGCTGGCCGGGTACACTGCTCGCGTACATGAGATGTTCCAAGTGTTTGAAGAGGTGAAAGCCTGCAACTTCCGGCGCCCTGGAGAACTTGAGGAGGGTCAGGCTCATGCTGGGAGAGTGATGAAGCATGGCGTACGGGTAGAAGGGCCGCTCAAGATCCAAGGTAAGGCCTTCAGCTCCAGACTGTATTGGGCTGACATGGCACACCTGCACTGCTGCTGGCCTGGTAACTGCGAGATGCATCCTGCTAGATCAAGAGATGATGTTCACGTGGTGGCAAGGATCAAACCAAGATGGTTATTTTATTTACAATTACTCAGAAGTCCCATAAAACCCAATGGGACTTTTGGCCAAGTAAACATTCATAGGTATCAGGGTACAGGAACCCAGAGACAGCTGCATAGCTTCCGTCAGATCTAGTTCTCAGTGAGCTGGTAAACCTGGGCCTGGGCTATAGCACTTCGAACTGCAGGTAGGGGCTCCTGTGACTGAAGGCACTTCTTTACAAAACAAACCACGTCGGAGCCATCTTGCCAGGGGTTCTCTCAGCTGTATTCCTGCCTTTTCTTACTACAACATGCAGGGGAGTTACTTGCAAGTGCTTTATTTTAGTTACTTTTTTTTTTTGTACAGTCCAAAATAAAGAAAGGCAGCATGTCAGGAGGAAGGCTTCCCCCAGATAACAAGGGTGGGGGGGAGGGTTGTGTGGAGGTTTAAAAAACATGTTTCATATGGAGGGGACTTTTCAAGGGAGCTCTTGCACCAACAATCTAAAGTGGTACATTCCGGATGCATGTTTTACCACCTCGGTGAGAACTAGACCTTTCTGCCAGCAAGTCAGGATTGTCTCCTGCCTGCTTGACTGTGCATCTACTTTCTTTCCCCTCCTTCCCTGGGTAATGCACATAGCCCTTAGTAACTGCTAAGGAGAGGCAGATTGGCAATTGCTCTATAGCACAATAGATGCTTGAGCAACATCCTGTACATACAAATAGTGATTTCAATTCTCGGAGTGCCAGTCCTTATGTAGCCAATATAGTATTACCCGTGCACAAGAGGGAGGCATCAGCAGACTCGGGGGAACCCTGCCATTTGAACTACAAAAGAACCTTTAGAGAAAGACATGCGAAAACACTGAGCATGCTCAGTAGGCGCATAACGCTGACTGTCTCGTGGGAGGTAAAAATGGAAAGATGGAGTGACAGGAATCCTGAATAGGGAGCACTGCACTGCAACATTTTGTTCCTGGTCCAAGGTATGGGGAACCTTTGCCCCCCATGCCACTGCCATCTGCCTCAGCTGGCATGACCAATGGCCAGGGACAGTGGGAGGGTTAGCTCAGCAACATCTGGAGGACCAAGTGTTCCCCACACCTGCTTTTTGCTATGGACAACTAACCTATAAAGCATGGGTAATTGAAAAGACAAAGGAAACACAACCCCAAACTACTTTTGATGAGTTGATGGCTGTGTCAGTTGTCCATCTCTAGTTGGGGAGTGGGCAGTCTGTGAATCCAGAGTCTGTGCCTGTAAGTTTTGTTTCTCTGCTGCTCTGTGTCCGCTCTTACTTCTTTTTTTGGTGTCCTGCTTCTCTTCTTGTTCTCTCTCTTCCACCAAACCCTTCTCTTTCTCCAGCATCATCTCCATCTGTCCCAAAGCAAGTTCACCTCCTCTTGTCTCTGCCCTCACATTTTACACCTCTCTCTCCATCTCTTCACCCTGCAGCCCATCACATCGTGGGAGCAGGCATTGTACCTGCTCCTTGCTCTCTGTTGACAACAGCTTCCCTGGCTATTATTAAAATGTACAGTTCTAGGCCAGAGTCTGTGCTGGTAATTCTGTTTTGTGCGTGTTCATTAGATTTTTATCTTGCCTTTCTATCAAAAGAAATGGCTCAAGTGACTTACAGAGTCGAAATTTGCAAGTTGACAAGGCTAGGGCTGTGGGTATTCTGTTCATTTTTTATTTTTTTAAAACCTGCTTAAATTGAGCTTAAATTCAGTGCCCTGGATAAATTATGCAAATTAAGTATATTTCCCTGATAAGTTTTGCATAATCTATTGACAACATTGCACAATAGGTCCTGTTTCTGTTAGTCGTGGGGGGTGGGATATGCTGGCAAAGGAGCCCCCTGCAGAGAGCAGTGTTGAACCCTCCACTCTTCAGCTGGAGAATGGAGACGTCAGTCCTGCTGGGTCCTGCAGACTCCTCCACCCACCTTGCACCTGATGATTGGCAGATGGGTGGCTCCACACACCTGTCAAAGCTGGCTCGTGGGGTTGGGGAAATAAAGATCTTAGCCCACTGGGCCAAAAAGACTCCCCAAAACTGTTGCCCCAATGGCATTGTTAGTTCGGGAAAAGGTGCAGAAAAGGGCATCGAAAGTGATCAGTGGGTGGAGCAACTTGCCCAGGAGGAAACGTTACAGTTTTGGGGGCTTTCCAGTTCAGGAAAAAAAGTGAATAAGGTAGGACATGACTAAAGTTCACAAAATGCTGCGTGACATGGAGAAAGACACATTTTCCTCCCTTCACCACAACTCTAGAACTTGGAGTCATCCTGTGAAGCTGGTTGGCGGGACATTCAGGACAGAAGTGCTCCTTCCCCAAGCAATAAGCAGTGAAATTCACTTGCTCAGGATGTGTGGACAGCCACCTTCTTTAAAGGCGGATAAGGGAGGATTAGGCTGCTTCTGGCTGCAAGGCATGATGCCTGTATGTTACCTCCGGGGTCAGCGTCTCTCTCCATGCCAGTTGCTGAGAGTAGGCCGTTTCCCTCATGTCCTCTTTGTGGGCTTCTCAGGGGCATCTGGCTGGTCACTGGGGAAATGGGATGGTGGACTAGACAGACCTTTGGACTAATCCATCAGGGCTGTTTGTATGTCCATTGGTTATCGTTGGATCCTCTAAGTCGGGACAGCTCTGGCAACCCTACCAGCTAATGGCTCATCCTAATACACTTCCTCACCTGTTATCCTGGCTTCATCCCATAAACAAATACCAGCTGAACCTCCTCTGACCTGACCGCAAGGTGACTTCCAGTTTGGTCAGATAACATGACCGCAGTGGAAGGATAACTATTTGTCTCCTGTGCCTTGAAGGCTGAGGAGGAGTTTTGGCAGGTACAGTGTTCCTCACTTTGTATGACCAGTGGCACCTGTCAAAATTATGTCTCCCATTTGGTTTGCAGTAGTACAGCAGCCCTCCTTTCCATCCCATCATTCTCCCTGGCCTGGCTGGATTAGACCAGCAGGGCTTTGGGTCCTGGAGCCTCTTCTGAAAGCCATGCTTTGTTCCCAGAAACATATAAAGTCATGTGCATGTTAATACCAAATGGAGGAGTGCACATGAGCATGTGCAGACTGCCTTAATCTAACCAGTGAGCCATAGCCATTCCCTGCAGATCCAGTGTCAGAGAGGGGCCTGTCGCCAACCATCCTGAGGACTGAGATGGACAACGTTTAGCAGATATAGGGGCCCCACCTTGCATTCTTTCTCCATTCCCAGGCAAAGTCTAAATTTGGGCTTGAGCAAGAGAGGAGACAGGAGGAGGATTGTGAGAGGGTGTGCTGCCCCCTTCTGGCTGAGTCCGTGTTCACTCTCGCAAGGGTTGGAACACTGTCTTTCATTGTGGATTTGATATCCAGTCTCTTCCTTCCTTCCCCCCACATCCCATCCCATCCCACCCCACCCCATTTTGCTTACAGGACGTGTGGTTGATGTTGACAATGGAATTGTCTGTGAAAACATCCCCATCATCACCCCCACTGGAGACGTCGTGGTCACCAGCCTCAATATTCGGGTAAGTAGCAAAAAACAAAGTTTGAAAGCGGGGAGCAGGAGCCGGGAGACTTTGGCTGAGTTGGCCGTGCCTTTCACAGTTGCCTGATATCCAGGAATTTGCATGTGATAACATTGATCCCCGTATTCCAATGCCATGAGAAGTTTCATTTGCAGATTTCTGCAGATCAACTTGCTCATGAAGGCACGGGAGCAGAGCAGACCCCATTTCCTTTTTTGCTACTGGTTGCTAAGCCTGTTGTGTATTATTGCTTGAAATTCTGTTCTGTATTGCTGCTTGAAAGATATATCCTAGGGCAGAGTTCTAACATTGAGAGGTTTCTAATGATGAAGGTCTGGAAGAACCTTCTTCAGATTCAGCAGGGTTGTTAAAAGAGAGATGGAGAGAAGTCTGGGCTGAGATTGCAAGCTTTTTTTGTCGGTAGGAGATATGAAGCAGCAAAGTTGAGGGAAGGGGGGTGGGGTGGGACGGAGAGTCCCTGTCAGTGCTGCTGACTTTGCAAGGTCAGGTAGGAGGAGCAGGGGGTGTGGTGTTTGGGGGGGGGGCTGATAAGACCTTGATCACTGCCTTCTCTTTATTATATTTTGCAAGAGCACAGAAAGAGCTGGAAAATCGGCCAGAGTACAGGAGTGGGGCGAGAGAGAGAGCAAGCCTGACGTGGCTCAGAGATAGTTGTCAGGGCACCATAGGGGTAATGTCACTTGGCAGGTGGCCTAAAGCGGCTGGCAGATCACAGATTTCTTACGTTCTGGGCCATTTGGGGTGGGAGTGGGGCCAGGTTCCCAAGGCAGGGGAGATGAATCTGTCCTCCGAAGGCCAAGGAGAGATGGGGCAGGGGAGTCTGGCCTTTACAGGTACAAGGCAACCAAAAGCGACTTACAGCCAACCAACCAACCAACCAACCAAACTAACAACAACAAAAACATAGATACATTAAAACTTCTAAAAGGCCACAGATAGTGAAAGGCCAAAGGCCTGGCTATAGAGGAAAGTTTTTGCCTAGCACTTAAAGATATATAATGATGGTGCCAGACGAGCCTCCCTGGGGAGAGCATTCCACAAGCCGGGAGCCACCACAGAAAAGGCCTCTTCTCATGTTGCTGCCTTCCAGACCTCTCATGGAGGAGGCACACGAAGAAGGGCCTCCGATCATGACCACAGGGTTCAATTCAGTTCATATGAGTCCTTGAGCTATTGCGGTCCTGAGCTGCTTTATAGGTCCAAGCTAGTGTATTCCTTCCTACAAACCTGCCTGGGCTCTGAGATCTTCTGGGGAGGCCCTTCTCTTGGTCCTGCCACCCTCACAGGCACACTTGGAGGGGGTGCAGGGAGGGCCTTCTCAGTGGCTGCTCCCAGGCAACATTGGAACTCCTTCCCTGCTGTCTTTCCGCTGTAGGTGAAGATGTTCTTGTTCCAGTGAGTTTTGGGGAACTGACCTCTGTTCCCAGTGCTGTTTTTGTTTTGATGTGATTGTCTGTATTTTTAAAAATACACATATAGTTTTAATTCTGTTAATGTTTAATTGTTTTTCAGTGATTTTTACCTCTCTATGTTTTTAGCTGTTCTTTTTTATCTGTAAGTCACCTTGGGTCCCTGTCAGGAAAAAAGGTGGGTGATAAATAATAAAATAATAATAATAATCAGACATACTGCTCTCTGATGTCTGCTTGCAGGTGGACGAGGGCATGCACCTGCTGATCACTGGCCCAAATGGCTGCGGGAAGAGCTCACTGTTCCGGATCCTGGGGGGACTCTGGCCGACCTATGAAGGCACCCTCTACAAGCCACCCCCACATCGTATGTTCTACATTCCACAGAGGTACAAAGGACCAGTATTCAGATGTCTGCAGGGAAGGGAAAGGCGGGTGATACAATGGAACAAAAAAGAGAGAACCTAAGACTCCTGGTTGCTCTTCATGGGGCTGAATGTGTTAAAATTAGGAAATAGAATCATAGACTTGCGTAGAGTTGGAAGGGATCCCAAGGGTCATCTAGTCCAACCCCCTGCCAATGCAGGAATCTCAACTGAAGCATCCATGACAGATGACCATCCAGCCTCTGCTTTAAAACCACCAAGGAAGGAAGCCACAACCTCCTGAGGGAGAGCTTTCCACTGTTGAATAGCTCTTGCCTCCAGAAAGTTTTTTCTGATGTTTAGTTTGAATCTCCTTTCTTGTAACTTGAAGCCATTGGTTTGAGTCCTGCCCTCCAGAGCAGGAGAAAACAAGCTTGCTCCATCTTCCACGTTGTTTTAGCATTTGCGTGTTTGCCGTCCTGGCTTCATTGGCTGGAATGGTGGGATATAAATTGTTGTTGTTGTCATATTAATATATTTGCACCCCAAGGAATGTTATGATTTGTCTGCTTGGTGTCTCATGGTAGGCCGTACATGTCCGTGGGAACCCTACGAGACCAGGTGATCTACCCAGACACTGCAGAGGACATGGCACGGAAAGGGAAGACGGACGCTGACTTGGAGCGGATCCTGGGCATTGTCAACTTGAACTACATTGTGCAGCGTGAGGGAGGTGGGTGCAACCAGGAGAGGTGGGGTGAGCATGAACCTTTAATTCATGGGAGACAAATGGGGAGGGAAATTGTCGTTTCTGCTTCCTTTGCCTCTGGCTGTGTGGAGTAGAAAGTGAATGGGCAAGCAGGGTGCATGGGAGGGTCTGCTGCACCATCCGCGTTGAGTGACCAATGAAATCTCTTACCTTTCCACCCATGGGCGGGGCCAGCCTGGGAAGCAGTCAGCGACTGGAAGGATGTGCTCTCTGGTGGCGAGAAGCAGCGCATGGGGATGGCCCGCATGTTCTACCACAGGTTAGTGCCTACAAGTGCAGTGAGAGGCCTGATTATTGGCCACTGCTGCTATTCTGTGCATGGGATTCAGTTGCATTCCAGCAAATTCACATAGAGCAATTAAAGTGGCTTTGGCAGTCTTGTGCAACAAACCTACTTCTTCAGAAAGGGGGGGGGGCGGTTTCAGTAAGGAAAGTGACAGGAAAAAGCATTGAGAAGCAGGAGAGAAGAATCTCTTGACGCAATGTTTGTATAACCTCTTGGCAAATAAATCGGGGTGAGTGCTGTTTAAGCAGCAGATATTGCATAACCTTCCCACAAACTTTGTGCAAAGAAATGAGGCAGGTTGTCTGGAATCAACCATAATCCCCCTAGCAGAGGACTGGCCCCAGTGTCGTGCTTTCCAGACATTGTGTACTACGACTTCAATCAGTCCTAGCCAGCATGGCCAATGATCAGGAAAGAGGGGGCTTATAGTCCCGCGACCCCTTTTCTCGCAGTCCCTCTTGCATTTTTGCTCATCCTGCTGCCAGCTGAGGATGGGAATGCAGTGTGTCCTTCCGTCAGTAGAAAGGCAGCAGAACGAAAGCTGAGACCAGCGAAAGTCACACCAGGGGCAGCCCAAAAGGATGATGTTGGGAAATACTGCCAGGATCACAGCTGAAAGGTGGAAGAGGCAGATCAGGAATTGTGGAGGGAGGTGTAGAGGGGAAGGTGAAGGACTGCAGTGTAGGAGTGGCCGTGTACAGACTAGCTTGGCCAAAGAGCCACTTTGGGGTCTCTCATTTGGGCTGCTGCTCTTCCTCCCTAGGCCAAAGTACGCTCTCCTGGATGAATGCACCAGTGCTGTCAGCATTGATGTAGAAGGCAAGATCTTTCAGGCTGCAAAGGATGCTGGGATAGCATTGCTCTCGATCACCCACCGACCTTCACTCTGGTATGTTTTGTGCTCTACCCACAGTCTTCTGCCTAGTATGTTTCTTTAGGCCTTTCTTCTTTTGGAGCCCCTTGACTTTATATACATCTATCTCACTCTTCCATGGGGCTCCCAATGGTCTTCCCGCTTCCCTTTAATGATTCTACAGTACTGGGTGCTCTTGGATCACTCTCCTGTCCTGCTCAGGGAGCTTCCTGTCTACAAGACCAGGACATCCAGGCTAGTTGGTTAGTTGGAGTCATTTGGACACACGTTTTCTCCCTTCTTGCCCATCATCTACTTGTGGAGTCAGCTGTGCCACACACTGGCCCATGAGTGGGACTTTTGAGAGAGCAGGGAAGGCTGGGGAGATCCCTGCAGCAGTGTGCCTCCTCAGGCCCTCAGTCAGACATTGCTCCTCTGCCACGAATGGAGCAGTTTCTCCACATACCTGATTTACCAGGCAGGAGTCCCTGTGGGCTACCCCTTATTCTCTCACTCTCTTTCTCATACAGGGGACAGGGAATTGGAGGAGGAAGCTGGGGAACCATCTGAGCATTAGATGAGAAGTGGGCTGGCAGGCTTATAATGCCTCCAGGAGTCTGTCCACACTTCTACATCCATTTACTCTGCTTCTACCTATCCCTGTGATTGTGCATGCTTTTATATCCCCCCTTTCTCCCCAATAAGCTGGAATGCCAGACCACCCCCCAGTATCAGAGTCAGTATCTCCCCTTCCCAGCTTTCATCATACCCCCAAACCTCAGTTGCCACTGCATGAACCCCCTTCCTCCTCTGGTTCCCACCTCATCACACTTGGCACTCCCACCCAGACAGGGTAGGAAAGGGTTGTGTCATTAGTGAGCCTGGAGGCAGGTCCTGTCATTTCCTCTGTGACCAGTAGAGGCTGCCATAGAGTGGATCACCTGTCTGGTGCCCCTTTGCTCGACCCGGGACAGGGAAAGAGGGGTTTTGGAGGAGGACCTAGAATAACCCACCGACTCCAAAAGTCCTGTGTCTTTAATAAACTGAAGCTTTATGACAGCAGAGGATGCACCTGCTAAAATCTTCCTTTCTGCACACATTGTGAAAGGGACAGGGGACTGTTTTTGCATAGAGTCTGGCTGCGCCTGGGCCTGCCCACCTTGTCCTTTCCTGCCCCCAGAAGACTTCCTATCCTCCCCGCATCTCTCCCTGTTTCCACCGCCCCTCCAGTCCCTGGCTGTCTCCCAAGCAGGGAGTCACGTCCCCAGCAGGAAGCCGTGTGGGCGGAGGGGGGCATCAGAGTCCCATCCCTGGAGACTGAGAGCCGCTTTGTTCCTGACTCCCCCAGAGACAGCTCAGCGGAAAGATCCCTCCCCAGGAGCAGGCAGGGATGCCAACCCCACCCACGCACAGGGCGCTCGCTGGACTCCGAGGAATGAGGGGCAGCAGCAAGAGCTCCAGGCCAAGCGCAGGGGGGTGTGGGGTGTGGAGAGATTGCTGGGAGGCCCGGAGCAAAGCGTAGCGCAGGCCAGCATCTCAAGCAGCCCTTCCCTCTTCCCTTTCAGGAAGTACCACACCCACCTCCTGCAGTTTGACGGGGAGGGGGGCTGGCGTTTTGAGAAGCTGGACCCCGCAGCCCGTCTCTCCCTGCGAGAGGAGAAGCAGCGCCTGCAGCAGCAGCTGGCCGGAGTCCCCAAAATGCAGCAGCGTCTCAGTGAACTTTGCCAAATCTTGGGTGAAGATACAGCCTCTCCAGTGGGACACATCCGAGAGAGCCAGGCACCCTGAAGCACCCCCTCACCGTTCCTGCCCCGGCCCACGCGGCTGAGTACTCAGTAAGAGGATCCCGGCTGCTTTCCTTTCCTCCTGGGAGCTGCAGAAGAAGGCCGGCTGTTGCCCTGGCTGCTGAAGGAAGAGTCACGTTTTCTCTGCTGGGGCATCGCTTATTTCTGGCACCTGTTGACCGTGCCCTTCGCCACCTTCTCTCACTAGCCTGCCTCGTTCTAGGACTGGAGGGAGGGAATGGGTCACCCCGTCCTGACAAGTGACTCCGAAGTTTTCTCTCTCACACACACACACACCTCACACACACAGTGCCTGAATATCCCAAGATAGTAACGCCAAAGCGTGGGTTTTGTTGCCCCACTGCCATTCTCTGCCCTCTGCATCTGTGGGTGTTTTGGAGTGAGCTTCCAGCATCAGCCACACCTCAGAGGCCTGGGAGGTTCAGCGGGACCGCTCTCCGCCTTTGTCCACACAAAACAGCCGCACAACATTTGATACGAATCCAAGCCATGAATGTAGCTCTTGCACCTTTCTCCCTGGTGGCCTCCTTTTTGCCACAACTGGGCTGTAGAAGCTGGTTGCATAGGGCAGCACCAAACCCCCCTCCCCTCCAGCCTTCGCCCCCTGAGCTCCACTTGAGGAAGGCCTGCCTCCTTACCTGGACACCAGGTGGGTGACATGGCAGCCAAGGGAGCAAGTCAGGAAATCCGTGTTGCTCTAGATCAGTAATTTTCAACAGTTCTTTCTGAAACCTTGCTGTTCTTCAGAACTTACAGAGAGCTTCCCCAGTGAGAAGATGGGTAAGTTATGCAGGGCAAGCGGTCAAAAAACCTCATCACGACCTCTTTGACTGACCTTCCACAACTGTTTCAGAATGTGGGGTTGGTTCATTCTTCTGGGGCAACAGTTTAGGTCTGCCTCATGCCCTTACAAACGGAGTGTGTGGCCTAAGATGCCTCTCACACTGCAGGGATCCCAGACACAAATTGGGTCCTCAGCAGATAAGCCAATATGGAGTCCCCTGAGGTGGGAAGCCTTGAAAGCCACAGTCCTGGGCTGTCTCGGGACCCCCTTATGCAACTCTGTAGAACATAAAGCCCTTCCTGAGGCTTTGTCCTTGTGGCTTCTAATACTTTAGTCCCTTAATTTTGAGGGACTGGTCTACCCTGTGAAGGCCAGCAGAAGGCCCTGTGCCATTTGCTTAGGGCACTTTCTATGGGGACTTGCTGAGACTTGCTTTCCATACAGCTGTCCTTCAGGACTTGTTCTCCTTGAAATAGCAGGAATTCTCCTGGGGTCATTTCCCCCCGTTTTCTAAAGCAGGGTGGAGGTGGAGGTAGAGAAAGAGAAAGAGATGTTTTCGTATACAGACAACAAGGCCTCAGCCAGTGAAGCTGCATTAGTTCAACTGCACAGCATATATCCACATTAGGAGGAGTGCAGCAATTTGGGTCTTGCCATGTGCGTGATGCGATGGAGAGAGGGAGCATGTGGCAAAGGAACTAGGATTGCTGGTTGTCCCCTATTTCACTTATGCCAGTGTTAGTCTGCACAGATGTGTCTATTCTTAAAAACTGAGCCGCCTTTTAATTAGTCATGAAGGTGATTGCTGCTGTTGTTGTTACTGTTGTTGTTGTTGTTGTTGTTGTTAGAAGACTCACTGCCAGTTGTGTTTTCCACGTGAAATAACAGACCAGCAAGCTATTAATGATGTGTGCTCCCATGTCCTTTAAATGCACATTTAGCTACAGCCATCACACAGTTAATTGTTTTAAATATTTCATCCATTGGCTTTGATGGTGGGACATCAGGGTTTGCCTCATGTACTAGGTTCTCTCCCCTCTGCCCTTTTGCACGGGTATTTCCTCCTCTCCCCGCTTGCCTCCCTTTCCCAATCCTGCTGCTTCCAAGCACACCTCATCTTCCTAAGAAAGCGAAGAAGATGCATGGTTGCTTAGAGGAAATGAACCCTCGGCTCTCCCTTCGTGAAACATCTTGCGCTGGCCTGCAGTCATGCGGCCTACCATGCTTGGCCCTTGGACTTAACTGGCGGCAGCAGAGTCTGGCAAACCACCCACTGTGTTAACTTTCCCACAGTGCTCCAGAGTGCCTGACTTAGCAGCACTTTGCATGGTATGCAGCAACTCAGGCCCAGCGGCTGCTGACACATAAGGCCTTAGCCAGAGGGGAGGGGGCTCTTCCGAGGGGGGATCAGAGCTGTAACCCGCATTGGCTACATATCTGTTCTTGCAAAAAACAGAGCAGGAGGCTTTATATGACAATGAGGCTGGTAGGCTGCATTAAGCTGGGTGGCAGCTCTGTGCCCAGGGACACCTGGCAACTGACCCTCTGGCACCCCACGCCCCATAGGACTGGCACCTGGAACCCTGCTTGTCCTATGGGGGAGCCATCCCGGATTGGAATAGACACATTGCTCTCAAATGGCATGTTGCTTCTGGAGGAGTAAAACCACAGCTTGGCAGCCCACAACCTGCAGGATTCATACAACCCTCCTGAGGCTCCCTGTGCCCCATGAAATCACCACTTCCAAATTTTGACGTCATTATGAAGGGAGGATCATCTTGAGATGCTAACAAGGGAAGCAAGTTCATACAGTGTTTTGCAGGCTCTGCTGCCTAGTCCAGCCATGTTCACAGAGAGGCCACCTCAGTCAGAGTGTGCTCACATCTTCAGAGAACCAGATAAATTCTTAACATAATTTCAGTCAACTAGTACAATGAGTTTTCCTTTCCTCAAGGGCAATTGCTGACATTTTACAAAGCACAAGGCCCGTGTCGCCAGCCAATTTGGGCACTGGGGAGGTCATTTCATGCCCCACACATCACCACCATACCCAGCGTCTTTTAAGTGCCACACTGGGGTTCTTATTTAATTTTTTTTTTAATCTGTATTCTGCTTTTTTACAAAAGTAAATTCCAAGTTGCTTACAACAATCAAATATACAAACCAGAAAACCAAGTCCACAAAAATGCATCAAACCCCATAAAATACCAGCATCACAAAAACAAATGGATCTGCACCTGTTAAGGAAAGAGATGGTAACAACCTGACAGAGTAAAACTGCACTCCTTTAGTTTGCTGGCAGTCATCTCCTTAAATATATTAACACATATATGCTTTCCTGTGAAATTTTTTTAAGCAAACAGCAGAGCAAAGAGAAAGCTGAAAGAAACTTGCTCCATGTTGTGTTAGTTTTATACTTGCTGGGAGCTTGTGTACGTGTGACCATCCAAAGAGAGTGCCCCCACCAGAAGTTAGAAGTAGTACAGCCCACTCTGCCACATTCTTCTGCATGTGTGTATGTTGCCATTGCTTTCTCCTGTATCTGCTTCTGATTTGCTCTCTATGTTTGCAAGTCTCGTCATTGCTGCAGCTTCCTGCAAGCCTTGAAAAGAGAGCCTGGAAGTTCAGGGCTGTTGTGTTTTCTCTCGCTCTCGCTCTCATGAGCAGCTCCTTGTATCGGCCGCCATTGCCTAGGGGAGCAGCAGCAACACAGGTTCTTCTTTCGTTCCTGATCACAGACCTGCCTGGCTTAGCTATTCCAGCCAAATTTTAAGGCAAGCCATTTGCAAGTGTGTGCATAGCAACACCACAATCCCATTGGAGGGAAAATAAAATCTCTGCATTGTTCATTCTGGAACAGCTCTGAAACCCTATAAATACATGCGAAGAGATGGGACTTCCCAATTGCTGATTTATTTAATTGTAGTATGCCTGTGTGTTTTGTAAGATGTTTGTAAAACTTATTTCTGAATTGTCTTCGGACCATCTTTTTATTTTTAGCCTGCCATCCACTTCATGCCCTTCCCAGTATGAAAGCCCCACAAGTAAACAATGTGATACTATTGCCTGGCAAGGGGGGGGGAGCCAGAGTTTGTGCCATGGAGGGCTGAGCATGTGTCAAAATTCTCAGTGGAATGAGGCTGTTCCCATCTGCTGGCTCTGATGTCAGAATTTTACAAAACTATGCAACAAAGACTTTCTTTCTCTGCTGTTATGTACGTGCAAAACTGCCATCCCACTCCCCCTTTCTCCTACCCTCACAGTGCCTTTTATGCTGGCAGAAGCCAGGTTTATTCAGATGCTGATAATAAAAATATTATAGATCACAAACATCTGTCCGTGTGATTCTGGATTCTGGGATGGGATTCTGTATGGCTACTGCCAAGAATGGTAGCAATTGGAATTGGGAGAGAAAGAGCCAGCCCTAGCACTGAGGTGGGGGTCCTCAGTGGGGTCCAAGGGGTGGTAGAAGGCATTGTGCCTGAGGATACTTTTGACACAGCCTCCTTTCCTCTAGTATTCATCAACTGCTCTGTCCCAGGCCCCTCTATCACCTTTCAATATGAACTAAAATAATTTTCTCCCTCAACCCTATCCACAGGTCTCTGCACCTTGTCATTTAATTTTTTTAAATTATTTAATTTGAGGGAGGCCCTTTTGATTCAACTAGAAATTCAAACAGAAACGTTGAATGGGGAAAACCAATGGTAGGGGCTCATTGTGAGTCAAAGGGAGATAAAAGTAATGTTTTAGTTACTGAGTTTAAACAACCTTAACTAATAGTGTGATGTTTTAATTACCTTTTTATTTTTATTTCTTTAAAGGCCATTGTTTACATGAAATTAATTCAGTACATCACGTTGGAAAAGTGCCCGAGTACTGGTCAGCTCAGCCTGGTGATTTTTTTGTGTTCATTAGCTAGGCAGACAGGAGCAGGTTGACTTCTTGATGAGCAAGTTGGGGAAATAATGCAATTTACATTTAAAACAAAAACTCAGAGAAGAAGTAAGTAGCTAATTGACTGTCCTTTTTGTTTAACTTGGAACACTGAAGGTGATCCGACTGGCAATCAGATCTTCCTTCAACCGTGTCAATGGAGCAATGTCTTCTGCCACACCTGAGGGCAATGCGCTAGCTCAGGGACTGCATCTCTCCACTCTTCTCCCTGGGCTCACTCCCAAGAACCTGCCTCCTGAGGCACCCACCTCACTCTGCCTGATACTATCGCTGGCCAGCCTTGCTCTGGTGAGGGGGGAGTTCTAGGCATAATGGGGAGCAGGAGGTAATGGGTGAAGCTGTTTTCAGAGAACTCATTTTCTATTTGGATGTCCCAAATTTGAGTGCGCATAGAAAAGTGCTTGCTTCACAACTGAAGCTCTGTACAAACATAGCCATAAAGAACTGCCTGTTTGGGATTCAGTGCATGCTGTCTGACTTCAGCTTCCATCATCCCTAATCATGGGATGATGCTGGCTGGAGCTGATGGGATTTGGAGTCCCACAACATCCAGAGGGCGCCATATTGACTGAATTGCAGTCTGAAACCTGCTAGTAGTAGCTGGCTCTGGCACCGGCCACAAACCATCTCAACTCACCCACAGTGTTTAGCTATCAAGACTCCCATGACAATATCCCTAAACAGATTCACAATCTGGCAACATGGTGCCTTGTACAGTATGTTTACTCAAAAGAATATGCCATTAAGTTCAATGGAACTTACTCTCAAGGTTCACATTGCAAGTGCAAAACAATGTGCAGTCTGATACTGTAAACCACCTAAGATAAGTATTGCAGTTTGCTGTTGGAAGACAATATTTGGATGAAATCTCCAAGTAGAGACATCTGCCTGAAAGCCTGTAGAGCCACTGCCAGTTGGCATTCAATCTAGACAGTACAGAGGTAGATGAGCCGGTGGTCTGACTCAGAATAAGGCAACTCCCCTTGTTCCTAAGTAAACTCTGTTGCATTCAAGAGCTCCTCCTTTGCCACCTGCAAATCTATGCACCCTTACTTAGAGGAAAGCTCCACTGAACTCTGTGGGAATGCCTTCTGAGTCAGCATGCAAAGGACCTGACTGCATTGTTTCCTATAAATCTTGGAGATATATAGCTTCGGGGAGTTGGATTCTTCAGAGTTGCAATGCCACATCTCTGAAAGCTGACTGCAGCTAAAAATTGTATGATTATACGTTTTGCAATAAATCATGAGGTTGCGCTGGAATCAGCAAGCAAGCATCTGTTAACAACGATGAACTTGTTAGTTCCTTCTTCACGTGCCAAATGCTTAATGTTATGGAAGTGACTGCTGTTCTCATTACACCTTCTTGTCTAAAGAGAGTACTGTATTAATAAAATACATTTGGTAGACATTTAATCGTATGCTAATCTGATAGTTCAGTCATTGCTGATTGAAGTTTGGAAGGGATTTTGTTCAGGTTTCTCCCTTTTTTATGCTGCCTTCTGAAGTTTCAGAGAAAGACTCCCAACAGCAGAAAGTTCACAAGGGGCTGAACATAGACAAGTGCTGATGTTCTAATCTATACATTTATCTTCAAATCTACATGAGACCCATATCAATGTAATAATTTATTTTTTTATTTTTATGTTATTAGTACGCAGTTTATTTATCATTGTGCTTACATCAATGTAAATCATAAATCTGTCGGGCACAGTCCTATACCAAATACCGGTATGTGCTTAATGAGGAGCTGTATAGGATATAGCAGAAGCTGGCATAGGCCAACAGGAGAGATTCACAAGCACATCTGCTCAGATACACCAGCTGAACACACCACTAGAGGAACAGCCAACATGGGCATGGGCAACACAAGGAAGCAGCACTTTCTTCAGATCCCATGCTCCCCCAGACTATCTCTATCAATAGCACAATTTTATAATGACATCATATAATGCAAAGCATTTCCCTCCCACTGAACTCATCCCTCCTGGCCTCCCTGCCTATGTCATAAAAGCACAGTAGGAATGGCAAATCTTCTCAGCCCCAGCTGGTAAGGAGGATGGAAGATGTATTCCAGCAACACCTGGAGGGCCACTGCTTCCCTATCCCTGAAGGCTTAGCCAATCACAGCACACCAGCATCTATGTGTAAGTGCCATAACTTGGATGATATGGTATGAAACATGGTTCTCTCTCTCTCTGGCTGGATGTTGTGCACACTTAGAGCACACAAGGGAGAACTCTGGTGATGGAAACTATGGAACAAAGACACTTTGCAGGAAAGGGGGAGCCTGTTACAGAAGGTAGCCTATCTCCTTCCAGAACACTTTGGGTACATACTAACATGTCCCTTCCTAGAACCCAAACAGGTAGCTCACCTGGGGATTCTAGACTAGGGGTAGGTGAATATATCAATCTCAGCTTCTCTCGGCTTCTCATTTCCCCAGGCTTAAATTAAGTTCTCCACATTTCCACATCAGTTTACATGAAAATTCATTAGCGTTTTAACAAAAAATTCTCTTAATATGCTCATTTTTGTCACAAGATCACCTAATATACTTTTCAACAAAGCAGTTTCCCCTCATATAATGCTTTTTTAAAAATTCACTAATATAATGTGTTTTTTCTACACACTTAAACCTCAATATATGCATTTTTATTACATATTACTTGACTGGAGAACTGCATTGCAAAATTCAGAGAAGGATGGATTTTGACAGGTGGCTGTGTTTAGGTTTGCATCTTATTTCAGAATATGTGAATTACATGGGTTTGCCTTTAAAGGCAAACTGAAGTGCATTCCTTACCTGTCCCTGCTCTAGACACAAACGCACAAGGGCAGAGCACTCTACCCAAGGAAGTAAGGGAAGTGGGAGTCATCCTGCGAAGCACAACTGCCTCCCCCTCCTTGCAATATGTGATGACTGCCCCCAGATGTTGTTGAACTACAACTCCCATCACCCCTAGCTAGCAAGGCCAGAGCTCAGGGATGATGGGAGTTGCATGGTGAGTTCCCACCCCCTCCCCCAGTGGAAATAATGACACATGACACAATTATTAAGGTTAATGGGCTAAATAAGGCCACAACTTTATTGGTTACAGGTGATGAGCGGTATTGGCTTAGGCATTGGTCCTAACCGACTATATCTGACTTCAGCCTGCTTGCTTGAAGTCCAGGAAGGGTTAACCACCACTGGGTGAGTCCTGCTGATGCACATCAACTAGGAACTCTCCCAGGGTCACCAATAGGGGGCGTGCCTAAGGCCCTCACATCCCTAGGCTTCGGACAGGGCCACGCCCCCCGGAATCCTTTATTGGACTACCCTTCAATATGCGGGGCAGGTGATGGCGCTACCTCCCCTCTTCCATCTACAGAACAATACCAATGCCTAACCGCCACTCGAGTTGTAGTCCAAGAACATCTGGGGACCCACAGCTTGAGAACCGCTGTGACTAAGCCAAAGGCAGGGAATCTGTATCAGCCCACAAGCTGTATTCCGTTTGGAGCAAACTTCCATGCCAGTGGTAGGCAGGGGCCGGGGCAAAAATGGGTGGGGCAGCAAATGTAAATATTATTGTTGTACAGTCGGCCATTTTCTATGTACACCCCTCCATCCAGACCAGCGAGAGCATTACCAGAATTAAATGACACTTCCTGGCTGGGCAAAAATATTGAGGGTGCTAAGTAGGGCTGGTGGGACGTGTGGCTCAGGAATGTTCTGAGAGCCAGAGAGACTCGGAGGGCCACATTTGGGCCCCAGGCTGAGGTTCCCCACCATGCCCTAGGCCAGTGTTTCCCAACCGGTGTTCCGCGGCACACTAGTGTGCCGCGAGACGTTGCCTGGTGTGCCGCGAGATGTTGCCTGGAGGGAGGCGGGCGAGTCGGGCGGCGAGAGGCGGGGCGGCGGCGGCGAGGAGAGGCCGCCCAGCGCGGGGCTCTCGCCGTCTGCCTGCCTGGCTGCCTGCGTGGCGCTGACGTCACGGGGCTGTAACGTGCCCCACATAGGCACACGCGGGGCGGCGAGCGAGCTCCCTCCCACATCCCATCGCCGCTCGCTTCGGCCAGCCTACTGGGCTGTCGCAGGCGGAAGGCCTGCACATGCGCGAGGTTTTCGCGCCTTCGGGATTCCCTTCACGCCTTCCTCCTCCCGGGTCCTTGAGAGCGCGGGAAGCGGCAGCGCGAGACCGGCGTTGAGCCTGGTAGGTATTGCGCTTGCCAAGGCAGTCATTTGGGAAATGAAAACTTGCAAAGCAAGCAACCAGTTCAATCTGAAGTACGTGTATGCTTAATATCCTGTATCTGAAACCTGTTCTGCCCCCTCCCCCACACTTGGTGCCATTTTCATCTACACATGCAGCAGAGTAAGTTGACCCAGA